CCGGTAAAAGTTTACTGCCGCAGCAGCCGCGGCAGTAAAACTTTCCCACCGGTAACGTGCCAGTAACGTCACGTGATTAAATCACCTCGGCGACTTTCCCAATCGGTCACTTTTTATCGGTAGTCTGAACGCGCCCTTAGTACGAGCTTGGGCCAATCCTATGGTTGGCCAGGCAACATATCAAGTCCAAAGTATTCGTTTATGACGAACTCCGTACGGCGAACTTTCGTGAAGACGAACTAATTTCAAGCGTGATTTGAACAAAACCAACGTGTAGTACGAACTTTTGGTCCCCATGGGTGCGCTGGCTGTAGTTTTTTTCTTTCGATAGTTGAGGCTTCTTGTACTGACAAAACATGTTACAAGGCGGATGTAATGCTGTCCTGAATTCATTGCACATTGTTCTTACCTGTTGCTGGGTTATGTTATGAAAAAAATGTTTTACATTTGCCACAGCATGCACCTTCACGTAAATACAATCCTTATCATATACAAGAATGAACTCGGATGGAGACCCAAGCATTATTATAAAAAGTAAAATGGACCAAGGAACTACAAGTTACACGGTCCACTAACACCACCATCACCGTCGGTCGGTGTCGTGCAATGTTATCGCATGAGCTGATTGTTTAGTAACTGGTGGTGTTCGTGGACATTATAGTGTACCTTGTAGTTCCTTGGTCCTTTTTACTTTTCATATGATATGCATATCATTTTTTTGTCAGATCTGGATAAGAAGAACTCCCGATAAGACGAACAAACTTTTTCGGTCCCTTGAAGTTCGTCCCAACGAGGTTTGACTATAGATCAAATATGTCTGCGTTTCGTGACAAAAATCTGAGTGCGGCTGAAATGATTGGTCAACTGCCCTCAGCCAATCAGAGTTCAGCAAGTGTTTTCTTCTTGATTTGCTGATATCTAAACTCTTATTGTTTCTGCACGAGGAAGGAGAAAGAAGCTGGACAATTCTACCGGAGAAGATAATCTAAAAGCGGCCATCAGCAAGCCAGCAAGAAGCAAGCCGGCGAAGAAAATTCATGCGAAGAACTCCGTGCTTACCTAGGGAGGGCCCTTGCCTTCTCCAAAGGTTCACAGAGTGATGGCTGTCAATGAGTGAGGCACTCTGCATACCAACTATATCTGTACATTGAATAAGCGGTCACGTGCTCATGCGTGCACAAGTCACGTGGTCACCGTGCCTCCAGGCTACGATTTTCACACCAAGGTTCAACTCGAGTGACAGGAACACACCCAAACGGGCTGTAAGTAAGTTGTACCCAGCAGGCACGGTGACCAGGTGACTTGTGCACGCATGAGCACGTGACCACTTATTCAACTACAGTGAAACCTGTCTAAGACGACCGCTCAAGGGACCTTCAAAATGTGGTCTCTGTTACCAGGTGGTCTCCTTATCCAGGGTTATTTGACTGGAAATAGCATCCCTTGATCCTGGTTTCAGTGGTCTTCTTGGACAGGTGGTCGCCTTTACAGGTTTTACTGTACGTTCGATTGAGAATACGGGCCGAACGCTGCATCGCAGCTTTCTCGGACCAAAACCAGTAGACTTGGCGTCCGAAGGACTACAACAAATAGGCCAATTGCGGTTATCCGTGCTTTTAGAAACGAACTGGCGCTTTTAGTGACATTTTACATACGAATCCCCATCTAGTTGGGCGCAGTCACCCAGTTTCGGTGGAAGTGCGCAAGTTCGATTGGGAATAAGGACTAAGGAGGAACGGAGCGTCGCGGCTTCCTCGGACCAAGACCATTTGACTCAGCACCCCGAAGACTACAACTGGCGAACATTTGATTTTAGGTGAACTAAAAACCATGCGGTTTTACTGCTCGCTACTTGAAACCCAGCCAGACTGAGTTTTCCACATTTGTAGGAATGTCACCTGCGTCGATCAAGGATAGAGGTGCAGATGCAGCTCCTGGCTCCTCGTGTTTCCCTCGGGCCAGAACACACTCTCTGAGGGGCTGTTTACATGAGGAACTATAAGCCCAGGCTTATCCGCCTCGAGCCTATTTTTCAACCGTTTACATGACGGTTGTACGGGGCTGAGTTCAGGTGAGTGACTGCGAGTTCTGGTCGCATTTTATTTTTCAAATCGCACACAGTTAACGCAGTGGTAAATGTTCGTGTATGATGAAATTTGGACTCAAGAAGTGCCGGCTCAGGCTTCTACTGCTTTTCCAATTGTCACTTATTTTTCGAGAAGAGTCGAGGATCGGCTAAGACCTTCCACTGAACGAAATCAGAAGAAAACATATACCAATAAATAAATAAAACAGACGCCCTGTCCATGGCAACATCCTCTCTGGCTCACGAGGCAAAATCGAAAAATACGGAAAAACTCGCTTACCGTATGTCAGCGCCTGTAAAGCCATGGTCTTATATTCGAAACACTGGTGCTCTCCTAGCTATTTTAGAAGCGAAATGACTCGCCAACTACGCCATGCCATAAAAGTCAAAGTCCACACAGAAATTTCAATCTAAATCCACTTAGCTCCAACACTTCTCCAAGGCGCAAACCAACAACCTTCCAACTTGGAAGGCTCAGGTTCGGAAAGGGCCAAGAGGGGAAGGAAAGCGCAACGAAGAAGAGCACGAGCTACGCATCACGGCAACAAAGAATGCCGAAAGTTACTGGATGATGACGAAACTAGTAAGACTATTGGACAGACCGGCGTTACTACAACTCGACGACGCAAAGCAACAGACCACCCAACTTGGGAGGCTCAAGTTTATGTAATAAACAAAGAAGGGGAAGCTAAGCGAAGACGAATTGTGACAAACCGAAACGCCAACATCCTACTGAACTCCACTATCATGTATGATGGACTAGTTATGTACAGTAACAAGTAGTTCCACACGACGTACGTTTCGCCGTATAGGTCATGACGGCTCCTCAGGTGTGCAAAGTTGTCAGAGGTGCAAAGTTGACCTGACAAAGGTGTCAGGTCGCCGAATGTCTCGGTACTCCTTGTCAGTTTTGTGCAGGGAGACTCCCTGGTTTTGTGATGATTTTGTCGCACTCGCTGACTGTATCAGATCTGGTTACGTTGGTGGACAGTTTGTCATAAGGCGTAACATTTTGTCCTTTTCCTTTCTTCATCATAACTATATTGGCTCACCATTCGAGTTCAACTTTGCACACCTGTCTGAGCCGTCATGACCGGCGAAACGTAGATCTACGTCGTGTGGAACTACTTGTTATTGTACATAACTAGTCCATCATACATGATAGCAAGAGTACATAACCCCCTTGATGTTAGTGGAGTTCAGTAGGATGTTGGCGTTTCCGTTGTCACAATTCCCTCTTCGCTTAGCTTCCCCTTCTATGTTTATTACATAAACTTGAGCCTCCCAAGTTGGGTGGTCTGTTGCTTTGCGTCGTCGAGTTGTAGTAAGGCCGGTCTGTCCAATAGTCTTACTAGTTTCGTCATCATCCAGTAACTTTCGGCATTCTTTGTTGCCGTGATGCGTAGCTCGTGCTCTTCTTCGTTGCGCTTTCCTTCCCCTCTTGGCCCTTCTAAATCCACTTGTTCACCTTTCCTGCTGGGCTGTAAGTTTGTTAGCATAGTACTTATTCCTTCATTTTTACAAAACATACAAAATGTCATCATTTATGAAGCCCATGGCTTTATAACTGAGACTGGCTTTATATTACTGTATATTCTTGACCGTTTTAATACATGACAAAATAAGCCCTGGGAGTTGGATAAGCTCGGGGGTCAAGGGTAGGGCTAGTTCAGGTCGGGGTGAGCTGAATAAGCTCGCCCGACCATGTAAACGCGCGCTCTAAAATGACTGGGTGACAGATCAAGGCGGGCTTATCGCTAGCCTAGGGTTGAATAAGCCCAGGCTTATTTTCTCTTGTAAATGGCCCCTTGGCTGCATTTACATGAGAATTTTCAACCTGGGTTGAAAGTCTGTACGATAGACAAACGATAGGTGAGCGTTTACACGAAGACAGTTGACCCGGGTCAAATACCGTACTGGCAATATATATGGTCGCAGTGAGGCCATGAAGCGTTACATTGGCACATGTTTACCGCACGCAGGGCGTTACATGCAAAGTCGCACAGGAGCCGTTACACAGGTTTCTATATTGCCGCAGTCCTTTTTTTGCTATTGCCGCATCATTTTTTTGCTATTGCCGCATCATTTTTTGCAAACTGCAATGAAAAGATCGCCGCACCCCGCCGGACGCGGGTTACGAACGCAACGAAAATTTGTCGCACTAGCCTGGTCGCGCGTTACGCCGCACCCCCCTGCGTTACGCGGCAACATATATTGCCTGTACGGTACTGTTATGCCGCCAAAAGTCCACTTCAAGAGTCCTGTATGGTCACGTGAATCATTTCGCGCGAAATTTGCATGTGCAGTGCTATTATATTATATTCTGTCCCCAGGGAAAATCGCGTAATTTGCGGGTTAATATATCATAATTTGCGGTGAATATTATTGATATGCGGCAAGTTTGCAATGAGGCAATTTTACCGGGGAGCCCGTCATGTGCCATGTGTATGCTAGGCGCCCCGGGTTGATTTCAACCCGGGTCAAGCGCAATGCATCATGTAAACGCGCTAGTCAGTGTTGTTCACGGTAGGATGAAACGCCTCGTGTAAACACAGCCCAAGGCTGTGATCGTTTGGTCGGATTAACCGATCACATTAGGAACACACTGCTGCCGTGGCCGTGCGGAGGTAGAAAATACTAGAAATACCACGTTACTACAGTAGTATTACTCTCCTTGTACTCATCTGCATGGTGCAGCGCCTTTCCACGTGCATGTGTACTAAAAGTGTTAACAGTATGATTAGTACCCGCCAAACACGTTCAAACATAATGTTTGGCGAAAATGGACCCGTCAACCCTGCTCCCGGGGCAGGGTTGCTCGGATCCAAATTCGAGGAATCTGGATCGAGATTCGACCAATGCAGATCCAGTGGATCCAATGGATCTGGATCCGACCAAAACGAACACATGATAATATTATTGATCCAATGGATCTGGATCTGACCAAACGATCACATGATGATATCATTACTTCACTGGTCCACTGTACACTTATAAATAAGAAACACACGAAAGTCACGTGCAAAAAAGCAACAGAAAAAAAGAAGCAAACAGTTGCGGTGCCTAAAGAATCTAAGGCCTTCTTTATGTACACTACTGCACTGCTATTTATAAAAAACAAAAAGGTTTGGAAAAATGGTAAAAGCATCAGGTGTAGCACTGTGTAATCAACACATGTCAGCATGTCAGAAACGGCAGCATAAAGAGACCTGTCAGCTATGTCAGAAATGGGATCATAATGAGAGGCCAGATGTCACAAATGCCCTCTAGCTTCATATATGAACAAGGTGGAAATGCAGAAGAAATAAATGAATCAGCTCAAAAGGGCATGAAAGCATATGCATAACAGCAGAACACTCACCACTTTATACTACCGTCTGCACCTTGGTCTTTATGGACGGGAAGATGAAGTAGTATGATGTGAGCGTGGTGGCATTCAACAGCTCCGCACCGGACGGGGTTTTCTTGCCACCGGCAGGTTTCACCTTCAGCATACGCACACCGTGGGGCGGGACGATAGGGCTGAACTCGCTGAACTGTCCGAGGTCCTTGTGCAGCCACAAGTCCCGGATCTCCATGTCGATCGCGGTGCCTTGGAAAGCGAAAGAAACGGTGATGTTGGCGGGCAGGTCGTCGTTGCGATTGAACAGAATGGCAATAATGGATCCATCAGCCAAGGGGCCCTGCCACAGCTCTGCTCCGTTCGGGTTTGCCCTGGACGTTCGGTGACCCTGAAAGCAAGCAGTAGCAAAAAGAAGCATACCCACTATTTCAACAGGGTGAATTATTCTACCCAACTTGACTCGGAATTGCAAGAACTTACACCTACACCTTCTGATACAAAGACACGCACGGAAGCACATGCACACACGTTTCGGGGCCATAAGAAATAGGTGGACTGGAGTGCAACAGCTTTACCTGTAAATTAGGGACAAATTATCTGATGGTGATGCACACTTTATTTTTTAGCTTGGCGAAACCCTCCACTACAGCACATCGCAACACTCCAGCGCATCACGCAGGCAGGGCGAACAGGTACAGACAGTACACTTGAACGCCTCATTGTTTTGCAACAATCCTGATTAGCTGGAATCCAGCAACAGATGCGATTAAAGGCACACTTTTTTGTAAAGATGTTTGAACCCAGCTGGACTGCTACACACAGTGCTAGTCAAGATGTTAAACCCAGCTGGACTGCTACAAACATTGCTACTCACACTCAATTTTGGCAGGAAAAAGTTCACAAAGGAAGAGTTTACAAAGGTACCCATAGATTTATCCGCACACCGGATGGCAATCATTGAGTTCAGCATGTTGCCCATCCCTATACAGGATCTGAGATCATGCCACATGGAATGAAGCATGCGCCGTCGCTTTGAACTTTACCCCTACCCAGAACAAACAAGCAATCATAGCGCGCACCCACCTGCACTCCGAGTGGATCCTGGTTGACAGCAATAACCTCCTCGTTCATGAGAGTGGCTTTGGTGGCAGCGGACATCTTGGAGATGTCACAGCCGATCAGCAGCGGTGCCTTCATCAATGCCCACAGACTGAAATGGGACTGCCCTTCAACGTTAGTCAGACCATTACCAACCTAGAATTTAGCAGAAAGCAGATGCATGGAACAGAGCTCATTGAACTTTCCTGTTATTTCAAGACAGCTGGCTATGCCTCCTCCCTCTCTTGTGGATATACGAGAGGGGTTCAAAGGCACAGTCCCCAATCGGTAGACAGAAATGCAAAATAACCTAGCAACGCACGGGAATGCAGGACCCATCACATGATAGATCCATCCATCTATCCATATCATCAACAAGAGTATAATATAATTATATAACCTCCCAAGAGTGTGCAACTCTGCGTATGGGGTCTTCGACGGTGAAAATGCACATCGCGTGCCTCGGGTACGTTTTCTACTACGTACAACTAAGGATAGCGTGCGCGCAATCCGAAAATCTGCCACGATTATGCAGACGAGTAGCATATGCGCAGTGAATTTCTGCCAAGGAGCGCTTTTATTATTACTCCGCTGCTCGCTAGAAATGGGCTGGAAACGTACAACTGGGACACTGCACCATGTGATGTGAGTTTTCGCCGTCGGCGAGCCCCAAAGAAGGGTATATCAGGAGTTGCACACTGTTGGGGGGTTATACTCTTGACATGATCAAGAGTATATAACCTCCCAAGAGTGTGCAACTCTGCATATGGGGTCTTCGACGGCGAAAACGCACATCACGTGACTCGGGTACGTTTCGTACTACGTACAAATGAAGGATAGCGTGCACGCAAACCGAATATCTGCCATGATCATGCTGGGGATTTGCATACGCACAGTGAGTCTCTGTCAGAGAGGGCCTTTTTGATTACTCCACTGCTAGATAAAACGGACTGGAAACGTACAACTGCGACACTACACCACGTGATGTGACGTGATGTGAGCTTGCCGTTGGCTTACTCCATAGAAAGGGTAAGAGGAGTTGCACACTCTTGGGAACTTATATACTCGTGACATCATGAACAATAGAGAACCTTGATGATACAAAGAGACCACGGGAAACTGCAGGCTGAAAAGGAATTAGAAGCCAATACTTGAAATAAAATTCAACAAGATTCTCAAGCAGCAAAGCAAGATCTAACCTCGAGCATGTCTGGGTCGTTCCACTTTCCAGGTCCGGCGTACGGGTACAGTGGCTCGTTCAGGTCGAGACAATACATGGTGCGCTCCCAGGATGGGTCAATGTCACCAGTAGTACGCCAGCTATTGCCAACTGGGCCTGCCCAGAGCCATGGTGCCTCCTGGTTGAGAGAAACACAAACACCGAGAAGCAGCAGCAGGCATAACAATCAGGAGGTGACAGCTCCACTGGACATGCGCCAAATTACCAAAAAAAGAGGAACTACTGGCCACGCTAAACTGACAAATCGTAACAGCTTACCTACACCATTGGACAAGGAAATAGGGAAGTAGGTGCGGGATGCACAGCGACATTGTGTGCATGTTTCACGCACACATCAATACAGTGCCGTACCGTACCCGATGATGATCACCCAATTCATTGGCCATTACTCTAGGCCATAATGCATGAGCTCTTCCGATTGATATGCATTTAACACATGGCACGGTTCACGTCAGAGTCGGTCAAACTGATTGAATGCGTCCGCAGGAACACCACCCTCAAGGATTAATGCAGAGCGACGGGGCGCCATAAGTAGGGATCGGATCTGATCACAGGAGCGCGAATACCAGACAGGCGTTTCTCCTATTGGCCAGGAGGACAGCGTTTTACATGGGCGGCGACCATTTACACATGGAACATGATTGACCGTGCACCGCACTTCACAACACACGTGCCCCATAATGTGTGCGAGATGGGTCGAACACCATGCCATGACAAGCAGACACGAAAGGATACTGAGAACAATTTAGTATTTACCCAGCTACAATTAACTTACGTAAGGGCTGAATTTGACTTTGACTTTTTTTAAAAGTTTCTGTGGCAATTACAGACGTTTTTCAAATTTTCATAGAGAAGAAAGAGATGATGAGATTGACAAGATGGGTAGACAGACAAGCGAAACAGAGGCAGATGAGAGAGCACACTAATTGCATGCCAAAGAGTAAGAAACGATCAGAGCACAGGACGTACCTTGCCCCACTCGCACATGGAGAAGAAAATCTTACGACCGGTTCTGTTCAGAGCATCGCGCATGATGGGGTAACGTTCTCTAACATCGATGTCACCTGCATGACAGTTGTCATACTTCAGGTAGTCCACCTGCAGAGATAGAAGACATGTGCAACGACACGACATAGGTCAACATATTAATTAATACAGGTTTTGTACACCCACATTGCGGAGACCGGCAGACCTCTTTTATCTATACTCGTTCTTCACCAGACAGCAGGGGAATTCCAACAAGATATTCACCTTCGCCGCGTGTAGCACATCTTGAGAACAATTTTAATTTTTTTTTAAACACAGCGCAAAGCATTCCCATTTGTACAAATTAGCCATGCAACATTCACTATCAGACACCATCAGCAAAGAAATTATCAATCGCCAATTAGCTGCTCTTCGTAATACCAGTTTCCTGGTGGATTGTGAGCTACCTCCAACTGCATTGATCCCTGCCCCAAGTGCTTGCTGCTAGTGTGGATGGCTATATCAGTTCAGTTCAGTTTGTTTATTTACGGATTCTCCAGAGGTAAATGGATACCTATCATGGGAGTCTCACCATATCAGAGTGGATCTGATAAAGGCTTCACTAGCATCATTTATTACACAAGAGTTACTTTAGCCAGAAGTAGTCCATCGGTCAACAAGTATGTATACTTAAAATAGAAAGTATATGAACCCTGAAACCAACAAAGGTGGCAGGTACAACATTGCACTTTCAAGCAGTCGAGCCAGTTAGCAACAGACCCAACACTATCTGCCATAAGTTTACCCACCAACCGAACTACTAGTAGCTGGCACACACACACAAACACACACACACACACACACACAGCCTAAGCCACAACACATGCACTACTAAACAGCCCAAGGCAGCAGAGGGTACTAGTAATAGCTCTACAGCAGTGCAACTGCCTTTCCTGCACCCTAAAGCAACACTGGACAGGGCTATACCTAGTGTGAGCAACAATCCCCTACCTTCCAGTCTGCATACGACTGAGCATCGCTGTTCTCATGTTCCAGAGAGCCAGGGCGACCTGCACAGGTCAGATCGCCAGCATCACTGTAGATGCCAAATTTCAATCCCTGGTTGTGGATGTACTCTCCAAGATGACCCATGCCCTCCGGGAAAGCCTAGACCAAGCCAACAGAGCAAAGGAGCAGGATTTAGTGAACATAACAGGCATACCGTAAAGTCTTGTATAAAAGCCACACTTGAATAGAAGCCGCAATTTTAGGCCCATCAAATCACACATAAGCCTGGTTTTAGTGTTGACATACATAGAAACACCTGTCTTGTATAGAAGCCCGTCTCATATTATAGAAGCCTGCAAAATTTCACCAAGAAAGTCATAGAAGCCGCGGCTTTTATACAAGACTTTACGGTACATGTACGGGCAGGCATAGTGGGATGGTCGGAAACCATGACTGAGAAACAGAGGGTACCAGATTCGAGTCCTGTCTGAAAGTGGATCCTTTCCAACCGTACTCCGACCTACAGTTAAAAGAGAACTTGAGGCCTGGCATGAGGGTAACATGGATGCGGCGAATGGGATTTGGGGTAGTCTTTGACCACGCCGTGGTGGGTCTGATATACTTGCCTCCCACCGCCTTAGGAGCTGCGTCCACGTCTTGGATCCTTGAAGGCGGTGGCATTCCTGCGGACGCGCAAACTCAGTTTAACTGGGTCTCGAGCCGTGAAATTTATAACTTTTAAATAGTTTAATAGTCAAGAGTTGCGACACAGCTTCCAATCTCTCTTGTGTAGAAGGCTCTGCCCTACATGGGTATTGAGCACTCTTTGGACAAAGCCCAGGATAGTTCTAGCACGCTTCATCTTGGTGCTCTCAATGCTAACAATTGTCAAAAGAAAGAGTGCCACTCAAAACTATCATTGAACAGGCGTGAGCAGAAACACAGTGGCCCTACCTTGGGATCTTCGTGGATGCGCCCCAGCTTATCACGGCTCGTGGCCCAGCAGTCATCTAGATTCACGTACGTGTAGCCGACTTTGGACAATCCAGTCGACACTAGCAAGTCGGCCGTCTTGCGGATCAGCTGCAGAGAAAACAAGGCAGAAAGAACCCAGAGAGCAGTGTCAAGCAAGTACTATAACCCTAGACTCGGTGCACGTGCCATATTATCACTCAGATGAGAAAGCGAGGAGAAGAATATAGCGCCAACACACCCCACTCTTGTTACCATTACACACTACATTAACGCGGGAGCTGTCAATATACTATATACAATGGGTGAGAGTTCCTGAACAGATACATCGGAAAAGCCCATTTTGAGGACAAGTGAGAAAATCATTTTCATCTGGAACTGTGATTGCGCTTGGTCCAGCGCGATGATTCCGACCGCATGAACAAACACGCTAGAGAGCATGCTAACAGGTGTCCAATCGTGCAGGCTGATGCGGCGCGGTTCACAATGCAGCGGTACACGGACACGTCCACACAGGACAACACACTATTGTCAACAGATCGAGTAAAAGATATTTAATATCAGCGAAATAAATAAAGCGAGTTGCACCCTCAGTAAACACATAACATAAGATTGAGCAATGCCGATATATGCAGGTTTTAGGCGATTCACACGATGTATCGCGCTGTATGTGGCGCTAGCTTTGCGCGCGAGCAAAACCAATGAAAGGATACTCGATTGAGGTCCCTGTGGATGCAGTGAGCGTGTTCGATTACGCACTTGAATCAATTCATGAATGGAATCCAGTCATTCAATTTCATGTAGTGAGCCCTGGAATCGATTCAGAATCCATTCACCCTATTCACACGGGTTGATGTGAATAGCCAGGGGCGATTCGTGAGTGGATTCACGAATCGATTCGCGGGCATAATCGAACGCACTCACTGATGCGTGCAAGATTAGCAGTCTCGCGTGAATCGGCAGGTCCGCTTGTCCACTTACGCACAAACGCTTTACCGTGCATTTGCACGTCATGCGAATTGCCTCTTATGGTGCAAATGAGATCGTTGTTTGTGCTTGATCTCACATACTGTGTATGGAGTGGAGGTCAGTGCTAGGATATTCTCTTCACCCCTGGTATTGGGACCTTAACCCTTATCAAAAATCTACGACTATCCGTCGATGACTTTAACAAGCTGTAACTCACTTATTTTTGATCGAATCCGCACCATTTCCGTCTCAAAAGAAGTTAGAAAGACCCACCATTCATTTGCAAAAAAACCGGAGCGTCTTAGCATGTTCCAAAGAGAAGTTAAAAGTCTCTGAAGGAGGTCTGTTTTCACACAGCGTAGGAAACAAGTTTGCAAATAGTGTAACTTTGGCTTTTTGTGCCGCTTACAAATGAAGGCTAGAAACTGTTTCTAGAGAACTCCTCATAGCTCAAGCTTTCCAAAAAGCCCAAGATTGCCAATATCACCCAAGGGAAACTAAAGTTATGAACAAAATGAGTCCCGGCGATAAGGGTTAATGGTAAATTTGCATGGAGTGGCGAATCATATGCAAGCAGTGCTACTTGGTATTTGGGTTTGAGTGGCAAACAAGTACATGTACTTGTACCAGTGCTTTGTCAGTTGTCACTCTCATACAAAGCATCTCCAATGATGACGTAATCAACAGCATGTAACCTCTATAGACTATACTCTAGTCAGGTGGTACTCAGGTGGTACTGCATACATTGGACAAACAGATATTGCCAAAAGGAAATGCATCATGTGTGTGTGTGTGTGTGTGTGTGTGTGTGTGTGTGTGTGTGTGTGTGTGTGTGTGTGTGTGTGTGCGTGTGGTGTGCGGGCAAGCGTGCATACACGTGCATGTTCGTTTCCTACACAGTGAGTGTTCCCGAAATAGGACTCCTACACAGTGAGTGTTCCCGAAATAGGATAATGAAACCCAGAGATACTACTTCTAATATGGCCAAACTCAGCCATGAATGGATGGCTATAGCCTAGACGCTGCGACATTGAGGCGGTTTTGCTGGCCAGCTGAAAAAGGTGCTCGTCGTTCTAGTGAAACGGTGGATTTTGTGCAGTGCGCCCAATCTCAACCGCATGTCGCTTTGGTAGAATTGAATCGCTTGCGGCAGAATTTGACGGCTTGTCTCTCTACGTGGTAGTTCCAGATGCACATGTGTCGGGACCTGTGCATTTCCCCCCGGCCCTATTGCGAGCTTGGTAAGTAATCACCAGTGTGACCGCTCTCTCTCTCTCTCTCTCCGCGCAGCACACGCTGAAACGGCTTGTTTTATTATTAGCTATCCAATCCAGCAAGTGGGCTGGAGGTTGAACCTCGCTTGGCAGGTCTAGACCGAGGCCTAGTCTCCTGACGGATTCACCACGGGAAGGTGAGGGTCGCCGAATCTGGCTTGTTTTATGCGGCAGCGGCTCAAGTGAAATCTGGCCTCGCAGCGGGCACACATCCGTAGGCCAGACTCTATTCGCCACACTTGCATGCAACCAAATATTTCATTTCATTTTTATTCGATTGATTTTCCAAAGGCAAATAGATGCCTATCGCGGGAATCTCAAGACCTGCCGCATAAGTCAAGGCCACCATTTTGGGTGCCCTTCGCTGGTATTCCTTGCGACTTTCTGACCTATTATAAGTCTGAACATGTTGCTGTACTCAGCAATAGGATCGCATATGGGAACCGCGACTCGACCCCAGGGCAGGGACCCATTGCTAGCCCTTCCTCATTTCGACAGTTCAAGCAGTCGCGAGTCGTTCTCCGATGAACAGTCAATACTAAAACGCAGGCATATCTCTCTTATTTACACTGAAGCTAGGACGCGACGGTAACACAAAGCAATGGATTAATGGCTCCTGCAACCAACCAAGCAGTACAATTTGAAGGCGAGCTGGGGGTGTGTTGTAGGTTCACCACCATGCTATGCGTGCGTATACGCGTAGCCAACAGTTGCTGCGTACGGAAGATTCAAACAAAATGCCAAATACACTACTACGAATGCAAACCCGAAACACACCTCAAGCAATCCGCCAGTAAAGATAAGAATGAACACTCTACCCACTCCGCAGCTAAAAACTGCCGGCGCGTTGTTGCCATGATAAAATCGACCTTCATTCATTCAAACTCAACCAACACGTACCTGTGAGCTGATGTTGCAGTGGAATTTGTTCCATGAATTCCATCCCATCTGAGGACGACGGCCGAGGCCATTGTCCAGACCGAAGCTAGGCGCAACCGCGACAGCAACAAGCAGCAACACAAGTCGTGCCATGTTGACCAAGAAGAAACACAAAACTGAATGGATGAAAGCAAGAGAGAACTGAAGTGAAGTGCAGATTTGAGATCGAGAAACAGTTGCCTCGCAACTGAAACATGTCACGTAGATATTATGTGTACAAGGGTGCGTGCACGCGTGCGACGTAACGTTGTGTCGCGCTTCCGTGGAGGTCATGTGATCGTCCATATCGTAATCACACTGGCAGAAAGATTCATATCTTTACGACACCCTGGGTTTGCGGCTGGTGCCATGCCTACGAAACTAATTATATAATTACTTCGGCAGGAAGTACGATCGCAGGGGCGTGCTCGGCCCCCCAACTAGGGGGGTGCACGGGAGCCGAGGGGAGCCCCCCCCCGGCAATTTTCTGCAATTTGTTTGCAACCTTTCTTGAATTTTAGAGCATATTTGCATACATTACAATTGCAATTACCCAGATTGAAATTTTTTGGGGGGTGCACGTGCCCCCCCGCGCGTGCCCATCGCTGAGCACGCGCCTGGATCGGATCGTACTTCGTAGGTCTTCGAAGTAACGAGGCCTTGCTTGGATAGATATTGGCCCCATAGCATTGCTTACACTGTCGCCGGCTTACATGCCATACTCCCATAGTCTGCGACTGCACGAAATCCGATCTCCATGTACCATGTGTGCTGTAGCTGAGTGTAGGGAGTCAAATCCACGCATATGCGCATGGGACTGACTGTGCAGCCCAGGCTGGACCTGTGAACACTGGGATTATGTACTGCTGCAGGGCGCATTTACTTGTCTTGACTCACCCGATCGGATTTCATGCGTCGATATGCAGACAACACTCGGCCCACTTTTACAAATCATGGTCACACGCACACATGTGTGTTGTACAGTAATGATTATGTAAAAAAAATGTGACAGTATCATTCTACATTTTAATTTTTTTTGTACAAAACCTAGCGAGGCTACGAATCTGTAGCTGTGGCTCGGAGTCTGTTACATGTTGTACTTGTGAGTGTGACAGACTGTCAGTGCTACCGTTGAGTAGAGTACCGGTACTCACGGGTACCGGGTACTAGTAGACCTACCCGGATGACCTACTGACTGTCTGTGTTTTCACTGTTTACATGCATGGTGTAGGAGTAGGCGGCTGTGCGTGCACAGACACAGTCTGTCTGTGTGGGCGCGTGTGCCCTTCACCTCTTCATGTTATCACCGTTTTTGATCACGATGATTGAGCACGATCGATCAAGAATCTTGCACTGTCATCATGGAGTACATTATGATGGAGGCGCTCAGTACAGTCCTCTTGAAATTCCTACCGGCTGATCCTCTTCCTGCTTGGCTTTTGACTAACCCTGGGAGTACTGGAGTACGAGTGGGACAAAACTTCACAAAAGTCAAAAGCCTGAAAAGGGCCACCCACTCACATGCTCACATGCTCACACAACTCGATCAGTGCATGCTGTGTAGTGTACTACTAGTACTAATAGTAATACTAGTATACTATGTCAGTATGACTGTGTTCCCAAGCGCTAGCCACTATACTGGCACTAGCGAAAAGTGCAATGCCCCGGCGCCCCGCATATCGACCACGTGACAGTCGCTAACCGTATACTTATTGGATACTAGTACAGTGACATGCCTATTTCAAACAAGCACTGCTTTGTTGCGAACGACTAGTACATGCACGCAATGACCATGTCTAACGAAGCGTATCACTTCAAGTGTTCAGTTGTACATTCCTTACAAGTAATAGTTACATCATGTCATGACAGAAGATTGTAACAGTTACTGGTCTGCAAACATTGAAACAATGGCAATGCTTTTGTCCTTCCTGCAGGACGACGGATCCGGGTACAGGCTTTGTTTGCAACTAAATCTTATGCCACCGGCTTTGCCAGGCTTTGGTCTATAGTAATGGTGTTTGTATTTTTGATGTTGATTGTTGAATTATTACGACTGTCATGGTCTTCACTCTTCAGACTCCAACTGTGGTCTCACTCTCCAGCTGATTCTTTGCAGCGTTGACTCTCCACTCCATAACGTCTAGTGCATGTTTGTACATATTATATAACCTAATACTAGGTTAGAACTAGTATTAGACAAACCTTGTTATACTAATAGTTCACGCATATTGTTAGATTGTCAGCATGAAACAAGGTGGAGACCAACCCCGTCTATAGAGAGCACCTTCTCGCGACAGTGTCAAGGTACTAGGTGGTGGCAGTAACTGTTGACAGCTGACGAGCTGAGAGAAGGACGCCATGGGCAGAAGTTGGAAGAAAATAAATTGAGGTTTAAGTAGCTACATGACTACCAGGACGACATCCAGGAGCGATCAAAGAATACACGACGGACGCAAGGAGTAGTCTCCAACCCCCCTTGCATAATGAGGGTCAGAACCGGGTGCGACACCCATATGGTTCAAATGGTCCGCAGGGACCGGGGCTCTGCCAACCGCGGAAGGTTGTAGTAAGGTCACTGTTTTCGAACACAGTGTCCTCCACCTTGCTTCATGCTGTCAATCTAACAATACGTTTGTACATGTACATGTACATGTATGAGTGTGCAGGAGGAGGGTAGAGCGACTAGCTCAAAATCCGGGCTTTGCGAGTCCGGACACTAGCGCCGGTGCTCACAGCTTAGCCTCAGCTGCGGGGCTGTCACATGAGTCATGGTGCTAGCAATATTGTGAGTACAACTACAACTTAAAAGTACAAGTACTATAAGACAATAAATTAAATCATAACTAAACGTGCAAGTATTATTAGTTGGTGGAGGTGGAATTACTTTAGTACAAGTATGAGTACAATGTACTCGTAGTAGTTCTAGTATTCATAAACCCAGGTATGATGATAGCGTCACTCTAGAACCATCACACAATACGTGCTACAGTGTATCAGTATTACGCTACCATAGGCTTCGGGTCCTCATGACATGAGAGAGAGTATTGTATTGTACTTCGAAGTATTGATATTCAAGGATTACCCAGAGCCTCTACACCTGTGGAGGGAGAGAGGGAGAGAGAGAGAGAGAGAGAGAGAGAGAGAGAGAGAGAGAGAGAGAGAGAGGGAGAGAGAGAGAGTTACATTTATAAAGACAGGTAAGTCTAACAAATGAGGACTGAGACCTCTACAACAGGGTTTTTGCGCCTGAAAGCAGGTGCATGACTACAAGCAGGTTGCCAGTCTAGATTATATGCGCAGATGGAGAAAAATGCGCAGAGTTTTAAAAACTTTTTGTAATGAGATGAAAAGCAGAAATAATAATAAAATAATGATGAAATGAAATCCTGCTCGCAACCCCACCCAGCCTTGCGAACTGGGAATGGTGGATAAAGAACCCGGGTTCAATGCTCGAGCAAGCGCTCTCCACTCAAGGTGTTCACAGCAACTGATAGGAACTCATAGGGGAAATGATAGAAAAGAAATAATAAGATAAAATGAATAAATTTCAACGCACCTCAATGAACGGGGTCCCACATACAGTACCTCAGAAAGTGGATCTTCCGACCAGTGTTTTTGTTGACGTAGCAGCCAGATGATGTAGCTGCTTCACAGATACGTGTGTGTGTGTGTGTGTGTGTGTGTGTGTGTGTGTGAGAGAGAGAGAGAGAGAGAGAGAGAGAGAGAGAGAGAGAGAGAGAGAGCAAGAGAGAGAGAAGAGAGAGAGGGAGAGAGAGAGAAACTGATCGGCCAAAGAGTATCATGCCTTGGGATATGCTAGTAGGGTGAATTTATTGTGTTCTATTTACGTACATGTAATTACTTTACTTGACTGCATGGCAAGGAAGGAAAATTAACGAACAGGCCATTAGAGAGAGAGAGAGAGAGAGAGAGAGAGAGAGAGAGAGAGAGAGAGAGAGAGAGAGAGAGAGAGAGAGAGAGAGAGAGAGAGAGAGAGAGAGAGAGAGAGAGAGAGAGAGAGAGAGAGAGAGAGAGAGAGAGAGAGAGAGAGAGAGAGAGAGAGAGAGAGAGAGAGAGAGAGAGAGAGAGAGAGAGAGAGAGAGAGAGAGAGAGAGAGAGAGAGAGAGAGAGAGAGAGAGAGAGAGAGAGAGAGAGAGAGAGAGAGAGAGAGAGAGAGAGAGAGAGAGAGAGAGAGAGAGAGAGAGAGAGAGAGAGAGAGAGAATGAGATAGAGAGAGAGAGAGAGAGAGGAGAGAGAGAGAGAGAATAAGAGAGAGAGATACATAGAGAGAGAGAGATAGAGAAAGAGAAAGAGAGAGAGAGAGAGAGAGAGAGAGAGAGAGAGAGAGAGAGAGAGAGAGAGAGAGAGAGAGAGGGAGGGAGATAGAGAGAGAGATAGAGAGAGAGGAGAGAGAGGAGAGAGAGAGAGAGAGAGAGGGAGAGAGAGAGAGAGAGAGAGAGAGAGAGTCTTCAGTCTTCACGCCCCAACTTGATTTCACACCTTCGCGGGAGCTGTATACACCTAGTGCATGTACCACCAGTCCAGGCTCCATGTCTCTAGAAAGTAAGTACAATGTAGTTAGTTTAATTATATGTCTGTCACCAGGTGAACATGATGACAACCAGGCTGTAACTAAGTTGAGAAAGAAAGCCCTTTCACGACTCCCTGATAACAACCATTTTACAATCATAACAAAAAAGTGTATTTTTACTTGGGCAGAATTTGGATTATCTCCTGGTACATAGTCATTGGATGTTTCATTCATGTTGGGTACGCGGATGAAGAAGAAGAGCAGATTTTGAGGAATTGCCCACCATAAGGTTTGTATGGTTCTGCCAATTTCACTGTTTTCGAGCATAACCGGCCACTGTTTTTAGCATTATCTGCCAAGGGCTATCCTCTTCAGCCTACTAGCTACCGTCAGTATCTATAACACCCACCAAAAATTCGAAGTAAAAGGGTATTGGAGGGTTCTGAATCTACTGATATTGGAATTCCTCTTGACAATGTTCACCTGCAAATAAGGCTGGTCAGAGAAGGTGATATTGAAAAGGATAATGAGAAAGGGCTCGTGTTATTATTACCATATCTGACAAGTTGGAGGGCTGGTAAAGTTACTGTCTTGCCGGCAGGGACATTGACGATTTTTAGTTTTCTGGTACGTTTCATGCATGTTTGGTATGTGGATAAAGAAATGGAGCATAATGCAAGGGAGTGCCTGCCATAAGGTTTGCATGGGTCTGCTGCCAATTTCACTGCTTTTCGAACATTATCCGCCAAGGGCTTTTACCCGTGGCGTTCCGCTTTTTGGATAATGTAACTTTATCTAGGGGTAGTTATTAGAATGTACCACCTACTGAAACAGTTCCCATCAACTTCTGACAAAAAGGCCAATAGTGTCCCCAACTACTTTTTGTTGGTCCGTGCGCTGCGCAAATCATCTCACTGTATCTTGTCTCGAGTCCAGGTTTGCCTGCTGCGAGAACAAAAAAATGATGGAAATATCTGTGAAGTTAGACTCGGGTGGAGAGCCAAGGATGAATTTATAGGAAGAAATGAGGACCAAGGAACTACACATTACACTGTAATGTCCACCGGCAGCACCAGTTACTTTACAATCAGCTCATGCGATAACATTTTGCGAAACTGCTGCTCGTTACTGCTGCCTATTTTGTCCATCTAAATCGTCTTGGTCGAAGTACTGTACTGTAGTACCGAGGCGTTCGGCTCTTCATAATTCATGTTCGCTTAGCTTCCCCTCCAATCGATCTTCGAATCTTTAGAGCCACACATAGGCGCCACGGATGTTGTGTGGTATGTTGCTATGCGTCCTTGTGGTTTGACTGTTTTTTTTCTGATGGTCATGCCAGTATCGTCTTCGACATACATGTACATCCACCAACGTCCTTCACAGCTGAGACTTTCAGCCTTTCAACTTTTCGTGCTTGTCTTGGTTGCGCTCACCTTCCCCTCCTAATAATGAGTCCTAGTTATCATGGTTATGTCTAACGTAGAACCGTCCAAGCTGGAAGGCTGTTGGAATGCGCATCCAAGATGTACTAGAGCTGATTGCCAGTTCGGTGTAGTATGTCAGTACCGTTGGTCAGTGTCATGTAATGTTATTGCATGAGCTGAGTGTAAAGTAACTGGTGGTGTTAGTGGACAATAGCGTACCTTGTATGTAGTTCCTTGGTCTTCATTTCTTCTTTTAAAATGTCTGTAAAGTGTAAGCGTTTTCAGTGTGTGCGTGTGTGTGTGTGTGTGTGGAAAAAAAATTTTCGCGGAGAGGAAGCAGATTTGTTAGCTCCTGGTTTTCTCTTTGTTGGCCTCCTCCACGGGGCGGCCTTGGCCTTCTGGTCAGGGTCGTCCCTGGGTATTGAGTGGCAGTAGGCTTTTCATGCCTAGCAGCCGGTTTAGCTCGCGCGGAAGGACATTCAGTGAGCTGACGATCAGGGCGGGTAATTATTTGTTGCCGTCACCGTCTTCTTGCGTCCTTTCCGCATCCTCCGCAGTGGCGTGGCGAGCCCTCAGATCGATCCCCAGCCTGAAACAATGCAGTGGCGTTCGGCAAAGCAAGTGGATTCCTGGATGAGAAAGGAAACAGGCCACACTCGCAGCAATTTATTCCTGCGCGGTGTATCGCTGGAATTGTGGATGTGTCGTGTTGTTTGGACCTGAGTGGCCAGTCGTCGTGCGGCGATGGTGTAGTGATGTTAGCTTGCTGTGCACACTCCTCGTCGTTTCGTGAAAGTTCGTCTTGTGGAGCCCTTGTGGGACGTTCGGTGCCCACCCTCCAGTTCAAGATTGTGCTTTCCTGGTTTATGAAGGCCGAAGCAGTACGCGTACAGACGTTGAACAGAACATCATGTTCCTTTTTCAGTCGTTGCATGTTATACTTATAGTGGACCTACAGCAGACTGTTCATCTGGTTTGTGATATTTCTTTCCTCTGTTTGTGAGTCCTTTTCCATCAATATGGCAGCTTGTTTTGATTTCCTTTTTTTCAATTCATTTTGCTGTACTTCCTGTTTTGTTTTGCGCCACTGCCCCTCACCTTGCGCTCAGTTCTCTGAGTGGAGGGCGGCGTGACCCCACGGGGTAGCTGATTGATAGTAGTAGTGTGTGTGTGTGTGTGTGTGTGTGTGTGTGTGTGTGTGTGTGTGTGTGTGTGTGTGTGTGTGTGTGCGTGTGTGTGCGTGTGTGTGGGTGTGCGCGTGTGTGTATGCGCGCGTGTGTGTGTGTGTGTGTGTGTGTGTGTGTGTGTGTGTTTAATTTCGGCCAGTCGGCTACTATCGTTTCGTCTTGGGGGTTAGACAAGCAAGGGGAAGTAGCCATGTGTTTACAAAGCAATGTGCAAATACCACTGAATACGAGCATTCAAGACTGATGCAGGCTGGACTAACGAAGTATTACTATTTTAATAGTAATACTATTAGTTCGAGACTGTCTGTTTCCCTCGCGCCGGTCTCCTTGCTGCTTAGCCTGCAGCCAGTGGGCTAATCTGCCACAGATCTATGGTTACTACGCCTTGAGTGATCAACAATATCACAGCTCCACATGATTGCACCGTGATGTGTAGCTGATGATCGGCATGACACAGCATTGACCGGACGTACTGGCGCGGCGCAGAAGAAAACACAAAGAGGAGAACTCGAAGCACTCGATGAACCTGCGGGTGATCATCGCGAAGCGAGGAATAATTTGATTGGCTCGGCGAGGACAAAGCATTCTCTGCAAATGCATCTTTCGCCGACTTTGTATCCTGCTGGGAAATCTTCCATGGGTTCTGGTCTCACCATGTGGTAGACTATTGGTCTTCTATTTTCTAATTCCAGTTCAATTCATTCTGGTACCGGTGAATGCGAGGCGAAGTAGCAAATTGACAGAAACCGTTGCAGTTTGAGATCGGCGATACTCTACCTGAAGGCGAAGCTCTCTGTTACGCCAAGCTAGGTGATGCACGAGAACGCGGATGGAGGTCCGTACCTGAAGGGACGAGGGGAACATGGACCATCGCGTTGTTGCGCTGCTGGTCGACTAGTGGTATTCATTCTAGTGGTCGTGCTGGTCGTCCTTGGATTGCAGGCCAGTGTTGACAAGTACTATTGCAGGACCAGGGCAGATGAATCAGGGCTTTGCAGTTATGTCAGAAGGCCACAGAGCCACCACCGCCAGCATGGCTCACACCACGATGAGAACATGAAGCCAGGGCACTACCTACACACCAATACTGGCAATAGAAAATCCACCAACCTTGAAAATGACCACGCTGCGCAAAAAAACGTTTACGAATCTAACATTTCCATGCGGAAATATCTGGACCAGGCTGCTGAAGTTCTGAGGTCATGGATACAGGAGAGTCAAAATTCAGAACAGGCAGCTATCAGAGATAGCGAGGATGAAACCTGCCCCACGTGTACAGCAACACCATATGATACGGTTGTAGTGGGCGGCGGGATATCGGGCCTGTACAGCGCGTGGAGAATAAAGCAGCATTACCCGCAGAGCAGTGTTGCCCTGCTGGAGTCAAGCTCGCGCTTGGGCGGCCGCATCTTGTCTCTACAACTGCCGGGCTTGCCGGATGTTGCTGCTGACTTGGGTGCGATGCACTATCTGGAGGACTACACATCCGTCCAATCCTATCTCATCAGGACCGTGTTGAACATCACCAGCATCGATTTCCCCACAAACTCGTCGGACCCGCGCCTGCCGTTCGTACTGCGAGGTCGGCGATTCACCGCCGCTCAGCTATCGAATGTGACGGAGGTGAGCTCGGTGTACGCACTGAGCGCTGCCGAGAAGGCCCTGTACACGGGTCCCGGCTCTCTGTACGAGTACTACGTGCACAAACTGGTGCCGAGCTACGACAACATAACCGTGGATCCCTGGAAGGAGAAGACGAGCGATGGCCGGTTTCTGAAAGACCTCGGATGGCTAGAGCTGGCAATGCTGGCAGGAATGAGCGATGAGGCGATGCACCTCATCATTGATTCAAGTGGCTTTGCTGATTTCTGGGACAATCCCAATGCTGCTGCACTGAAGGTACAACATACCACCTTCCTTCATGCTTCTGAATACAAAACCTTCGCCGGAGGAATGGAAGACATCGTGAGGAAGTTCGCCGACATGACAAAGTACATCGGCGTGGACGTGTACGTGAACACACCCGTGTCTGGCCTGGTAAACTGCGGTGAGCACGAGAAAGTGCTGTCGGCCAGTCGGGCATTCTGTGCGAAGCAGGTCATTCTCGCGTTGCCGCGTCCGGCTCTGGAGCCAATCGACTGGGTCGGGCTGAGGGTCAACCCAGCGTGGCAGTCGGTGACACCCGTGCACGCCATGAAGTTATACCTGGGGTATGATGCACCATGGTGGAGGAAGCCACCAGTGCAGTCAAAGAGTGGCTGGCTGTATACGAACTTGCCTATTCAACAAGTGCTATATCTCGGCTCGCAGGCTGATCATCCCACACAAACAAACAAGAACAACACAAACTCTCTGCTCATGGCAATGTACTGCACTGAGCAGTTTACGACCATTTGGGAGTCTCTGAGCCGAGCTAATGCTAGCCTGGAAGGCTTCCACGGCCGGCCCAATCTCTTCACTGGCAACACGGAGCCGCCTATCGTGGAGAACGTCGGCCGGCCAGTCTCCATGGAAATGCTACGACTTGTACGCCAGCAGCTGGCAATGATGCATGGGATGGCAGTGGAGGACGTGCCAGAGCCGTACACGGCAGCGCTTGTGGATTGGCCAGCCGCATGGCACTGGTGGAAACCCGGTGCAAACGCCTCCGAACTCTCTAGCAACGTCGCCAAGCTGCTGTTCGAGGAAGAGGTCTATATCGTCGGAGAAGCCTACAGCAACCTACAGGGATGGATTCAAGGTGCACTGTCCATGACTGAGCAAGTTCTGCAGAAGAAACTTGGACTGCCACCACCTCCTGGACTCCCACCCATTACAACAGGGCCTCAGCCCAATCTCTGGCACGAGTTGAGATTTGGGCGCAGGTTTCAGTCAAGTTCAAAGTGAAAATAAGTGATCTAAAGAATTTCTGTACAAGGTTCCTCCATACCTACTTTCAATGAACTATCCTATCTCTAATCGAGTTGTAGGGTAAATTATGTCCAGCTTTGTTACAACTGTATGCTGACGTTACATTATACCTCCACGTGCTATAGCTTCAGTGTAGCCACTAGAATCATTACTGTCCCTGCTTTGCCTTTGATTATGTCACTAACCTGGAAACTACCTTACATTATTATATTTTGGCAAACCGTTCTTTGCTCACAGACAACACTACGTTGTTGTGCGTCAGTGTTTTCTCTGTGGCCAAGGACTTCCTCGCTGCTACATCAGTTCGCCTACATATTATTTCGGCCAAACTCATCTGCTTTGCTTAGACTTGATTAGTTCAATCATCCATGCCATTGATTTATTTTCTCCGAGTCCAAGACCCCACAGGCCCACCTGCAGCCCACAAACACCCATGGTGTTTCATTTAAGACTTTCAACCCAAATGATCACGACCATTTCTATCAGATATTTATACTTGCAATTATTTGAGCACTCTTACCCTCCATGATTCCTTGATTGATCCACCGTGCATTAGAAAGTTTATCCACCACAACTTGTTTTCACATTAGTGATATTCAGCGGGACCCCAAAGTCATAAGTATTGCAGGCTTTTGACTGATCTTCGAAAGGCAAACCGGAGCCTGCCTGTAATCAAGATGCGAGGGCGTATGGCTTATTGGTATGGGGCAATACTATTGCCCCAAAAAGGCACCAACATGCCCTCCTATCTTGGTTACTCCATGTTATGACTCATGCTATGGGGTAACCATGCAGATGGCCGGATTGCGGAAAAGGGAAAGGATTGAGAGAAATCTGCGGTCACTTTCGGATCGGCCTTTGTGGATAATGCCGGCAGAAAAATTGGCAGAATTCGGTACTTTTTCTGGTAAGTTTCATGCATGTTTGGTATGTGGATAAAGAAATGGAGCAGAATTCGAGGAATTGCCCCCCATAAGGTTTGCATGGTTCTGCCAATTTCACTGCTTTTCGAGCAGAATCTGCCACCTTTTCGAGCATTATCCGCCATCCGCCATCGCTCTTTCGGAGCGCCGTAAGAACAATGGGGCCCGCATTTACCAGAAAACAGATGCAAGCAGACTCCCAGCTAGAGGACCACTCATTGGTTTTTTTAGAACTTTTTTCTCACTAACAAACAAGGCCCTACTAAAATATCAAGAAGAGCGGACAGTAGAAGTGCCAGGAAATACTACCGGGTGACACAGCACTAGCCCTTGGCAGATGATGCCGGTAGAACAATTGGCACTGAATTTGGTACCCTCAAATTTGCTGGTATGTTTCATGCTTGTTTGGTATGTTTCATGCATGTTTGGTATGTGGATAAAGAAATGGAACGGAGCATAGTTCAAGGAAGTGCTTGAAGTAATTTTGTTTGTATTGTTCTGCCAATTTCACTGCTTTTCGAGCAGAATCTGCAATTTTTCGAGCATTGTCCGCCACGAGCTAGATAGCCTAGGCAATCAGAGAAACCCAGCTTCACCTGACACACGTGGTGATGGGTCGAGTTGCCGGGATTTCGAGGTTTACGTTCGGAAGAACACATGACTGTCGCCTGGCCTGTATCGCCTGGCCTGTATCGCCTGGCCTGTATCGCCTGGCCTGTATCGCCTGGCCTGTATCGCCTGGCCTGTATCGCCTGGCCTGTATCGCCTGGCCTGTATCGCCTGGCCTGTATCGCCTGGCCTGTATCGCCTGGCCTGTATCGCCTGGCCTGTATCGCCTGGCCTGTATCGCCTGGCCTTTCTCGCTCCACATATACTGGCATACACAGAGACATAGACAGCAATAGCGACAACACACAAGGACAGGTGAAGGGTAGTTGGCCGCAGCCAGATGTGAACGGGATAACGAGTGAGGTATGGAAGCAAGGCCTGAAAACAGAGTGTCTCAGATAGAATAGGCGTGCCAGAAGATAGCAGAAATAGGCCATGATGCAGAACCACTTGGGACCGTCAGATTAATTTTCCTGGACCGAGCCAGCCGGGAAAAACCCTCGCGCCGACGGACGCATTTGTGAGGGAAAAAACCGGGTGTATATCCCCAATGGTGATTAGCCATCATGTAGGCATGGCAAGCACATCACGGCAAACAGTGAAAAAAGCAATGATCATATGCACAGAAATGATGGGTGGGAGGGCAGGGACACTGGTGAGACTCAAAACTGACTGAAGAAGTCAGGAAAAGAAGCGACAATAAAGAACACACCAGATGCCATATTTGCAACTGAAAATATTCCGCGAGAAATCATTTCTCGCCTATCTCGCTGCGCTCGGCCGGCGAGAAATACAACGTCTTCAGGCTGTTCAGTTTAGTGGAATGATAGAGGAAGTACATGATGATTGTACAGTCTAAGTAGGGTAATCTACGAGGCTCTTTGGATATAACGGGTGGATCATCTACCCTCTGCTTGGTTTACAACACAACGAGAATGCACGCGTATACGATTCTGTTTTGTAGCTGTAAAGGCCTCCTGACAATGAACATGTAGGTATTGGTAAGCATGACATGTACTTTTCATCGAGCAGCAGCCTGTCCATGATGCTAACACCCACACCAAGGCTCGCGAGAAAAGAAAGGAGCAAGGACTAGCTGCAGGAGTGTTGTCATCGTGCCATACATGCAGTAGCTCAATGCTGCCCTCGTGTGAAGCAAAGGGGTGAAGTTTGAGCTGTCCGGAGACCTTATTCTGGCAATGGTACTGCATGGTACAAACTCTCTCACGTGTCTGATGTCGTGATGATTTCGCGAGTGTCCGAGCTGTACAGAATGACTATTGCTGTACATGTGTGGCTACTTGGCAGTAGACCACGCAGCTGACTCGAGGCCAGACCTTGTAGAGCCTTGGATCTTTGTAAAGGCACAGGAAAGAAAAAAAAACTATACGGACAAACTTCCGTGAGTTGATATTCCTGTACCAGGCGTCCCGCCAATTATCACTCTGTTTTGATGAAGACACGAACTCCTTCACTGAAAAGTCGAGGATGAGGTCCATTCATTCTGTTTTGGCTGCTGTTATCGCGGTAATCGCTTTGGCAGTCGGCAATGGAGTCAATGGGGAGAGACTCGTTGAACCGGCGGCAGGAACCAAGCCGCACATCATTATGCTCCTGGTGGATGATTGGGGGTGGGCAAACGTCGGCTACCATCGTGAAACACCCACTCCAGAAGTGCAGACGCCCAACTTCGACTCGCTCTGTAAGCAAGGACTTGAACTAGACCAGCATTACGCCTACAAGTTCTGTTCGCCCTCTCGATGCTCATTGATGAGCGGTCGACTGCCCATACACGTCAACATGGTCAATGACGGACCGGACTCGAACAATCCTAAAGATCCCGTCTCCGGATTCCAAGGCATTCCTCGCAACATGACTGGCATCGCATCTAAAATGAAGGCTGCCGGGTATGTCACGCATCACGTTGGAAAGTGGGACGCTGGAATGGCCACACCAGATCATACACCAATAGGGAGAGGGTTCAACACTACATTCGGATATTTCCATCATTTTAACGACTTTTATACAGAAGCGGTGAGTATTACAGAGTGAAGAGAAAAGAAGCCTACAGACTGTCTTGATCAAAGTGATGGAATATGTTTGGAAGAGCGTCATCACACTCATTATCATGCAGACTATTATCACATACGCGTGCAGTCAAGAGTGGATACATACAATGTAGCCCCTGTACTGGGGTGACGTACCATTGATACAGTAGTACCTGTACACGTGTACGTGCATGGGCAATGTTTTAGCCGATGCACATTTCACCACACACTTCACATTTGAACGACATGTGCATGGCACTGGACTACGTAACTGCAGTGCAACCATTGCTACATCATACATGTATACCCTAGGTGTGCTCACACTAGTATTCCATTTTCCGGGTATGCAGGCTCCGCGTACTTGCACGTTCAACAAGAAGGTCTACTCGAACATAACGGATCTCTGGATGAACGATGGACCTGCCAGTGGCTTCAATGGCACGTTGTACGAGGAGGAGCTGTTCAAGAGACGTCTGGTTGATGTAAGAACCCATTCTTCATAGCATAGCACGCGTGTTTCGCCACTGTAATTCTCAGGACGAAATGTAGCCCGATATACCATTTCTGGGGGTTTGAAGCTTATGTGGAATGGTTCCTAATTTCCCGGGAAATTACCGGCTCAGTAAAGATCAACGCCTGCCCACACCAGCCCTGCCCTCTACAGGCTAAAAAGTAGCGGTGTGCATGGGTAGTCGGGTACCCGTGCTACCTGTGAGGACCTCGGGTAGACGGGTAACGAATCGTACCCAAAAACCCGAAGTCGCAGATGACATCATGTAGAAAGAGAGAGAGAGAGGTCTACAGTGCACGTGTACACATAACTCACGCATGTCTACCCAGTGTGTACATGGTGTAAGGGGAGGGGCCGGTGTGCATTGTGGTCTATACCATGGAAACATTACCTGATCGGGTACCCGTGCTACCCGTGGAAAACTACCTGGATCCGATACCCGAAGAAAATGTTACCCGACTCAGGCCTACTAAAAAGACGATTTCGAAAGTTTTGAAATGGCGTTTCTATCTTTGACTTTGGGAAGGCTCCCAAGCATTGCCCTGCTCACTACAGTCATGCCATGATCAGTCTGGTGACTCAGTGGCCACATGGGTTGGTGGTGTTGCAGCAGTTACTCGTGACAGGGCCTCAGTGTTTGTTGGTTGCTTCTTGTGCTGTTACTGTTGCAGATACTAACCAACCATCCTGTGGACACACCGCTGTTTCTGTACTACGCTCCACACATTGCTCACGCACCGCTGCAAGTGCCACAGAGCTACATCGATCGACTCAGCTTCATTCCGAATGTTGATCGCAGGATCTACCACGCAATGCTGGCATTCCTTGACGAGGTGGTGGGTAACATCACCCAGCTTCTGCATGAGAGGAACATGTGGAACAACACACTTATCGTCGTGAGCAGCGATAACGGCGGTCCAGAGTATGCCGGTGGCGGAGCAAACAACTTCCCGCTCCGGGGTGGAAAGCTGACGAATTGGCAAGGTGGTATCCGAGTCAACGCCTTTGCATCCGGCGGTATGATCCCAGTTGCTCTTCGGGGACAGAAGTACGATGGTTACATTGCACTGGCCGATTGGTATGCCACATTTTGCTCTCTCGCCGGCGTGGACAAACACGATACCAGAGCGGAGGCAGCAAAGCTTCCGGCAGTAGACGGCCTGGATATGTGGCCAGTTCTGTCCGGACAAAACATGACATCACCGCGTACCGAGATTCCGCTAAGCCCCGGCCTCATCAGTGGTGACTACAAGATACTCGTCTCAAAGGTGCAGATGGCAGGATGGACTGGTCCCAAATACCCAAACCAGACAAGACCTGCTGGCGGAATACCTGCTGTGGCAAACTGTCAGAAGAAAAATTGCTTGTTCAACATCAAAGTAGATCCAGAGGAACGTACCGACCTTGCAGAGAGTCAGCCGGCTATACTGAAGCACATGCAGGAGCGTCACGAAGCGTGGGTTGCAACCGTTTTCAATCCCGACAGGGGACATCCATCACCATTGGCTTGCCAGACGGCCATCGAGAAGTATGGCAACTTCTGGGGTCCCTTCCTTCCATAGTAACTTGACTGTCACCCCTTCTTCTCTCCCTCCTTAGTTCACCTCCCATGTAATAACCGACACCATCCGCACCATGTCTCTCTAACTAACGTATCACTTGAAATGTCACACTAATGTCTGGCTTTTGGCACCTTTGCGCGCTATGCCACCTGCTTTTTCGCACTTTACTGCGCGCCCTGTTTTAGCTACCTGCCTGGGTATTAATTTGGACCCAGATGATGTACAGGTTATCAGTTGTCTGAGGATTGCCTTAGCTTTGCCATGTGCATGAAACGCAGCGTTACAACAATGACCTAGCCGGTTGTCTCTGTTCTCTTCTGCCTTCGTGTTAATACTCCATCCGTGTGGTGTTGATCACTCTAGGCAATCTGGGAACTCTCGCTATTGTAACTGTTGTTACACTGTAACACACAGATACTTTGTAGCAAGGAAAAATGTTGGCACAAGTAGTTATGCGATCGAGTTCACCAACTAAACCAGACCCATGTTACAAATTTTCCGTGCCTCACCATCCGAGTTAAAATATTTTGTTGTGTTTATTAAATTATTTTTGTCACTATGGTCATTGCTCTACTAATACTTTGATCTCTTAGAACAGTCCCCATAAAGATTCTGATCCTCAATGAGGACTGCAGTTGGTTGGTTACGTTCTGGTTAATAATATTATTATTATTCCACAATCACGATGACATAGTGCCAATAAACATGTGATGCGGGCGATTTTAACCAGCCATGGTGGGGAAAACTGAGAAAAAGAAGGAGGAAAAAGTACAATGAAACCAAAACAAAAGGAGTACTAACTACCGTCATCAATCCAACTTAGGTAAGCGCGTGCAGAATGGAACAAAATGCAGCATAGGTGTCACGGGATTTTGCCTTCTGCGAAAGCCGAGACCAATGAGAATGGGACTTGAATAGAGGGGATTTTAAAAGGATCGATGATCTGGCAAGTGGGAACTGGAGAGAACATCTAGTAGGCAAGCTATGAACCAGCTTAAATGCGCAAGTGCATGCGGAGGAGCAAGTTTAAGCTTAATTGGTTGCGTTTTGGTATCGCTGTTGTTCTATTTTGGAAATTCATTTTAGTTTTCACGTGTAACATGATTGTCAGTTCTACATGTATATCGCCTAGCACTTTCACTGTGATATACAACCTCTTTTACGGGCAAAATAAACACAATGTCGCTGTGCTCGGCATTCGTTCATTTCCTTTATCATTTTTACATCAGCATTGGTAGCATGATAAAGGGTGCGAAAAGTTCCTTTCCATCAGGTCACGCGCCGCTGTTTATTGTGCTGTCTGGTAGGCTGCAGAGCAGTCATATTGTGCGTGGCTATGATGATTAATGTCACATTCAAATTCACCACACTGACGGCTATGAAGTACGTACATGTACAACATGCCTGGAATTCAGTAGGAACTAGCCGTCCCAAAGACCAACCTGATACCACTTGGAGTAAAATAATGTATACTGGAAAACAGTACACAGGCATTCACATATTCTTCAGTTTGAGGGAGATGTAAAGGGAATATCACATTTATTGTAAAGGTAGTGACAAACAAAAAACACCTGTCGACTGCAGCAAAGAAACAGGCAAATGGGATTCACTTGAAGGGAAACGGCTGGATACTCGAAGACAGTCATACTAATTCAAAAGGTTGGTGCAACTTCGGCGATACGTGGGGAATTGTGTGTTGATCCCTACGCGGGAACTCGCGCTTTTCCTGCAGACTCGAATTCTCTCTTGACTGACTCACGACTGCCGTCCGGAGCACACAAGGAGCACTCGCACCTTCCACTCGGCAAACCTGCAAGAAAGCACCACTCCCTGCTCGATACACAGTATTTCGGGGAATTCAGTCCTCATCAGTTGAGATTGAGTAGGCTGAGGAAGTTTGTGCCTGAAAAGCACCACTTATATGTACTGTATAGTGCTTTCCAGGCACAAACATCACCAGGGATACAAACTTACAGAGAAGCTCCGTTTCTAGCGCGACAAACATCTCGTGAACACCAGATAGCAGCGTGAGTCAGTGTCGCTCATTAAGTGCTGAACAAGCGCTGAGGACCGTTGGCCATTCACAACGTTGTTGCCTTCAAACCTAACGTTAATTCGCAAGCCCGTGCCGGGCACAACAATGTGAAGATCGAAGAAGAGGTTGGTGCGACTTCGGCGATACTTATTTTAACAAAGGATTCTCCAAAAATAAATTGGATGTTTCCTGTAGGGAGAGAATAGAGAAACAATTTCATCAGCGTAACTCAAAACATGTCTGAGGAAGAAATTCAACTGTCGCAACCAGGACTCGAAGCAAGGACATCTTTTCAATCACAAAGGTATGGTGCAGTTGTGACCCAAATGGACACAGTTCCCGGCATTTTTACACTTCGAAGCTCGCACTTTCTGTGAACCTTCACAGCCGCTAGCCGGGCTGCTGGGGCGTATCTACAAACTAACGCATGCCGGGGAGCTCCAGTTCACGAATCAAGGTTTACGGGATTGGAAGGGGAAATTTTCACGGGTCGCGCGAGACTCAGCTGTAAGGCGAGTTTTCCGCATCCGCAGGAACGCCGCCACCCTCTATGAATCAAGGCTGGACGGGGAAACATGGTGTATACAAACTAACACCACCGGACTCAAACCAGGGACCCATGAGACTCAGAGACTGTCAACATAGTTATTTATTGTCCCTCAAGGAGCTTTACAACCATCATCACCGCAAGCCGACCACTCTAGATCTGGTGTCAATTTTGTCGCACTTCATATTTCTTGCCAGGAAAATGATCTGTGCCCAAACGGTTAGTCAAACTCAAGGTGAACAGGAAAGAGATAAGCGATGGCAGTTGTGAATTGTGGATGATAAGAATAAGAGATAAAAGCAATGGCAGTTGTGGATGATTAGAATGCGAATCGCAGAATCAAGTCGGAGCGTCTTAGGGGAAGTGTCGCTCTGGCTACTGGAAAATCTGCGGCAAGGAAAGAAAGGGGGAAAATCAAGAGATAAACCAGGGAACTCCTGGGTGAATAATCAGTGAGGTAATCAAATCACTGTCTGTTCTCAAGCGTTGCCTATGTTCAAGATGTAAACTAGCATATTTTGAATCAAGTGCTAGTTTGGGTGATATAGAAAATTCAACAATGAGGACTTGATAATAGAACAAGTAGGAGTGAGCACGCACCTGGGGAGGATACAGCTCAGAGACAACAGACGCAACACACAGGAACAAAAGAACGGATATATAACATAGATCAGTGACAGATGTTACGCAAATCTCCCAGAGAGAAATAGTGATAGCGCACAAGCAAGAAGAAGGAGAGGCCCTACTGGAGAGACCCGACAGCTCCCGCTGGTATGGATTGCCGCTGTCGTCGGTTCTATAATACTCAGCGTTACCTGATTCTGTTCCATAGATGGCACGGAAATGTGTCGACCGCTGGGCTTCCCTGCAGTTTGTGTCGCCTGGATGGACGCAAAGTAGGTTGTTCGACTCTGCAGCTGAATGACGACCGGCTCTATGAGCGACGGAACCCGCATGAAGTCTACAGAGTTCTGCACGGAGCCAGTAGGTACAACCTGTACGCACACACGCATAGAAGCACACGCACACGTCATGATTTGGTTAAGTCTATCCAGTAAGCAAACAGCATTGCACGCACAGTATCGTGCAATATGCTCACACTGCGGAGCTTCAGCATAAAGTGTATAGGATATAAAGATGCAATGAGATAATTATACGAAATAGGAGTACGGACCTCGGCGGTGATTTTGTAAGGCCCAGCACGGGCTTGCGACTAGTTGGTTTGGAGGTTACAGCGGTGCGAATGACCGAGCGTCCTCGGTGTCTATTCTACCTATCAATGAACAACACTGACTCGCACTGCCACACGTACGAGCAGCACAGAGCTATAGTCAGAAAACCGGGAGTTGTTTACATACCTTCAGCGTGTAGGTTCCAATGTCAACTGGAGCGGGAACTCCCTGGCCGAGCGACAGTCCATGCGCTATACTGAACAGGCTGTAGTCGCCAGAGCTCACCATAGGGTTGTAGATGATGATCTCTGTAAAGCCGAAACAAGCACATCATAGGAAATATGAGACCAGTTCTTTAAAAGAGTGTGAAGTGTAGAAAACATCTCAATCTCAAAATGGCGCTGGTGTCAACTCCTAGTCAACATGCACCGCAACATTGGAAATTGGGTTGGAACATCTCTGCCATCTAAGAAGGGTCTGAATCGCTCATCGGTAAGACTCCATGCCATCGATAGAGGCGTTGTATCTTTTTGTACTCCTCACTACTGCTGTACAGGGTTGCATACCCTACGACAGGAGCAAACAAATGTTTACGTTTGCGCAGTTATTGACAGGAAACAACAAGTGCTACTGAGCATGGGCTGATGTCTAGCTAAGCAATCTGTGTAAAACTGCAGCCAAGGATGTGACCTTGGACTCATCTTATGAAATCAGAAGTTTGACTATACACTTAGTTCACGATCATGTAACACACGGGGTTGGTGTGGATAAGCCGGGTTGGTGTGGATACACAGGGTTGGTGTGGATACATTTAGCAGGACCAGGTCATCAGTACTGTAAGTGTGACAGTGAGCAGGAGTGCGGTGGTGCATTCCAGGAGTGAGTTTTTCCATTGATGCCAATGCCCGATATCCACCATTAGAACTGCCAATGCTGCTGTTATGCAAAGCAGCCAGTGTGGCAGCAACGACCAGGTGGCATTCCACGCAGCCCACTGCCCTGCAAGCATATTGGGCCTGTACAACTGCATGACGCACACAAACACTTGAACCCAATCAGCTGTAGTGCTAGAAAGTGTCACCCGCCTAGAGATCCCAGAGAGGCAGTAGAGTCCCAAAAGGCTAGGGCAGTCACAGCGTACTGTACGGTTGCTGTTAGCAGTTTTTTTTAATCTTAGCGCATACTGATGTAGTAGCCAGGGATACTCCATGAAATGTCTGATTACTTGATCACGTTGCACTGTAGAGGCAATAACTAATTTCATACCACTGTCGCTCAGCCACCAGAAGGTGGCACCATTCTGGATATGGACACGGCATTGGGCATTCTTCTGTACAGCATCCCGGGTCTTGTACCACTAGACCCAAGTCACAAGTGTTCCAGGACTGGTTACACACCAGTGACAATGCCATGGCGAGATTATCCTTCACATCAACACGATGCCAGCAGCAGGCCCCACCCTGAACCAGCAGGTCGTTCTGATCAACTAGCTTTCCAGCAGCTCCGCAGACTAAGGGGCTAAGTGTTCGTAGCCAATAACACTGATTGGGTGGGAAGTTATGATCAGACTTCATGTCTACTTCTCTCCTAACACCCTTCTGTTACCCGGTCTTCCCGCCCAAGACTAGAGAATCTCATTTACAGGTACACATAGATGAACCTCTTACTTGACTCCAATCAGGAGTAGTGAACAATAAGTTCATAGGGGATGAACTGGGGAACAATTGTCACTAGCATTCTACACATGTGTCTAGATAGCAATAGCACGCCGTTCACACCTATTGTTGACGCTTTGTGCCATCTGAGGCAATGTTCATAATGGTGTGATGAATATGGGGGACTACCCACTGAGGCGACATGGCATTGCACACACCCACTTAGCACAGTCTGAACTGACTCTCTGTGGTTCCAGGGTCCAGGGCACTGGTGTGGATGTTGCTCAGTCAAGGTTTCGTATTCTTGGCAGGAAGGTAGTGACTGTCATCTGCTCATGTTAAAACACCAGCAGGCAAGGCTTGTGGTTGTAATTCCCCTGGCAAATGACCTAACTCTCTGCCCAGCAATGCGGGATGGTGGGGTGTAAACATTTATTGCCAAGTGGCTCCTCAAACCATCAGCCACTGCATGTCCGCCAGGCCAGGGCCTAAGGATGAGTGTAATGAAAGATGCTCTCTAGCACAAAGTTGCGCAAGCTCTGCTCTGGTGCAGGGACCTAAATATGGGCTGCAGTAATCTGCCTGTATTGCCAGTACACACCGTCGTCAAGTACTTAAGGGAGAGCTGCTCCTCTCCTGCTCTAAGATCCCGTGCCCAGGGGCTGAGTAGGTTATTACTGTCAGTGCACTGAGCAAGAGTAATATGACATGAAATGTAGGGGACTTCCTTGTTCTGCCTCCCTGCCCCCCCCCCCCCCTCTCAGTGCTGATGACATGTTGCAACAAGGGAAGCAAAACCGCTATAATGACATACAGAGGATGTGATTTCCATGGGGGGGGGGGGGTGAGGTGATACTCTCAGATTGATCACTATAATTTCGTATGGCATGACTCAGCGAAAGCTGATCTTGGCTTCGTTTATCATGGGCAAGGGTATGGATCGCATTCTCATCATTTTAAGGTGAGGGCAGCGACTGTTTCAACAGGTGATAGCCAATCCTCGATACATATAATTCTTCTCTTTCCTAGGACACATATCTCAAGATACCCTGGTCCAGGATTAGAAACCTGTCCAAGGTCTTTTTGTTCTGCTTCCTGCACGTCATGTGATCTTGAGCCTGTGTGGACTTCGCCTGCCCTTGAATGACTACACTTACATTCCACAAAAATGAATTTTAAAACTATCTACGTATCTCAGAGGGTCTATAACACTGCAGGTTAACCTGGAGCATTGACCGCCTGTCTGAGCACTGTAGACTATGTTCCAAGTAACTTTGCAATATTTTTCGCGACGAGCAACAGAACTCAGTATCAGCACCAGAATGCTATTCATAGGTTTGAGGGAAAGTTGCAAACGGGAAAAAGTCTGAAGAAAAAATTGACTGTCACCACCAGGACTCTAACCAGGGACCCTCGCTTGAGGCCAGCAATGCTCTAAGCTATGGTGTCGGTAAAACTAATTAAAGGGCCATGGCACAAAAGTTTCCACCAATTACATGGAAGCCCAGAAACTAAAGCCTATGCGTGCTGGTGGTTAACCCATACTGAGAAGGGGAAATAAGGTATAATCTCTCCGCCTCCACATTCCTATGCTTGCACTGATTTGCTGTACATCTGTCTGGCATACTAACTGTAGTCGTACATCTAGCCTTCAGTGGGCGCTGTTGACCAGAATCATGCCACGGCATGAGAAGAGGATAAGCATGTCAAAGGTAACAGCCTGCCATTGCACAGTGGCAAACTGGGACTTGACCGCATCCTTTTGGGGGAGGTGAAACATTACTGGTGGACGCATGTCCCACTCCCCCTGCTGTGCAGAAGCAAGGACTTTGCAAGGAGGTCTCAGGCTAAGTCAATCCTCCCCTTGCTCATAACCATACTAGAAGCTCGGCATGTAAAGGATAGGGGGGGGGGGGGGGAGAGTGCTTGTAGTGCACATAGAGAGACAGCACTTCTCCTCATCTCCATTCTAATACAATTAGCCCAGGAATATCTCTACGGTGCTAAAACATAGTACCACTACCAGTGCCCTCTGCCCTGACAGTACCAGTGCGCTCGGCCTTGAGACTGTCTCAGATATACTAGAGTGCTGTAGCAGTGCAAATCACTAACTGCCTATGATTCCTCATTTCCTAACACAATTATTTCTTCACAAGTTGAAGTCCTGGTGATACTTAGCCTTGATGATCATCAACTCTTAGAGCAATGTGCTGGACATAATAATATTGTGACACGCGTATCTAGGCAGCGGAATTTACTGTGGTATCATCAGAATCTGATATTCTGTGTGACACTTGATACTCTTCTCTCACATAATCCTTGCATAATATCCTTGGAGACACTGGCCCAGCATTCTAAAACATGATTTAGCTGCCAGACTAGTTTTAGTAGTGTCAGTCACCCTCTCTCTCTACAAGTGCTGGAGATGGCTCTGGGCAGGAAAGGTCATGTGTAAGGACAACTCCCTCTACCTTACACAATGCAGCATGGCTTGGAATTCTTCCCAGAAATGTAACACGACTAGAGTTGAAGTTGACAGAGCACTTGAGAATTGCTGAAATGGAACTCATGGGAATACCGTCCAGCCATGTAACTGTTCAGTATTATTGCGGATTTTTCCCCTTTTGTGAAAAGTACGTTTGTGTCAAAATAGATATCTCAAAATCTTTGATCCTGTTTCCATTCTGCATACTGTATGTTCTGGAGGCATTCACACTACACTGATGATGTACGGCCAACTGTCTAGCATCTCATATTAGCCAGGACTGCTTGCAGATAGTATGAAACTCTAATGAAACACACGATCTGTCCTAAAATGTTTAGTGTTATCGATTCAAGCCGGTTGACAGTTTGTAAGTAAATTCGGAGGACTTTCTCCAGACAGATTTGATTATCCTATTACCTGCTATAGGCAAAATCACAATGCATCTACTTTTAAACACAATTTAAATTATTGAAAAGTGACATCGACTCTTCCAATCATGGCATTGTACAGAAGCCCATTCATTCTAGTAGTTTGCGGAGCTTTCAACATATCAGCATATTGGGCGCAAAACAACAAACAGGGACTTACCAATGCTGCCGTTGTACCATGTCAGCGCATTGTAAGTAAATATCCACGCCTTGGACGGATGAATGGCCAGCGACGGGTCATGCCAGCAAGCGAAGAATCCTTCCAGCCTGTTGTCACGACTGCGATCGGTCAAGACCATACACGACCCATCAACGTACGGGACGTTGATATTCACTGGGATGCGATACGTTTCTGTGGCAAGAAAACATAGGCAGAAGGAAATTGAGAACGACTGTCACTGCACACTACGTAATTGCAGAAAAGAAACGTCTTACTGTTGTTGCACCGTGTGTTTCTGCATAAAGTTGGTGTCCAAAAGTGAGTGAATGTGGGAGTGAGACACTCCAACTCTTGACATATCCTGCATCATAATGTTGCAAGTCATACATAGAATAAAATAAGGTATTCTCAACTAGAGGATCTGGGTGACAGAAAAAATGGACACGATGTCCTAACAGAATGATGGTCATTCCACCCCCTGGGACACAAGTTCACAGAGAACATGTACAACCGTTTTGTCCCATCATCATTATATCCGAGAACTAAACAACTAACCCAGGACATAGCAGGAATTTTTAAACTCATTGGAAAAGTGCGACCAAGATAACTAACAAAAGGAATCTCGACTACCGTTCACCCTGCATGCTCATATCCACAGTCACAAACAGATTCCTGCTTCCTGGCTTATTGGCCCCAAACGGTCAAGAAATCACAAGTTAGACTATCGTGTGATGTCATCACAAATAGCCTGTGTAGCAATATAGACTTATACCTGGTGTATTGAAGCATTCATCAGTCAACACAATCTCATCATATCGCTGGACGGGAACAGCCGCTTTCACTCCCTTGCCGGCCTCCAGAGTATACGACTTGGCACTGTTGCTGAACGAAACGTTGACCCGACGTCCCAGAGGATCCGAGTTCAGTATGTGCGTGAGCGTCGGTGGAAATGCGGGCGGCACTCCGGCTTCGACGTTGGGGATGGTGGTGAGGCGAGGCGGGTATCGCTGAGAAGTGGTGTCTCCGTTCAGCACTAGATATGTGTAGCGCTGAACGTGAATGTCAATGTCAATGTACATAGGCGCAACGAGTGAGCGCGCATTCTTGAAAGCATTGACGGAGTTCACGGAGTCTGTTGGGACAACCTGCTCACAACACAAAATATGATGGATATGCACGTGTTACATAGCATTCATATTTTCATGCGCAGCAAAATATTTCGTAATCCCTCCCCAAATATATTGAATACGTGGGTGAGTTTTCAGTGTTTTATCAGAGCTTGTTACGCTCATATCACCTTTATCCGTCCAGACCTGCTTGGATGATTAACATGGATACTCCTGGCTCTCAAGACAAAGCATTTGTCAAACCTGTAAATATCTACATTTGATCAGTGCCTGTGATTGTAGTGCGAGGAAGTTGGATACACTGCAACGACATTCTCTCTTTCTCTCTCTCTCTCTCTTTCTCTCTCTCTCTCTCTCTCTCTCTCTCTCTCTCTCTTTCTCTCTCTCTCTCTCTCATTCTCACCTTGACTTCATACATTCCCTCCTGAAGGGTGGCTTCCTGTCCTTGGTGGAGGGTGATGTTGCGAGCAATGCGATGCAGACTGTAGTCAATGCCGAACTTGGTGGCGTCGAAAAGCAGCACGTCTAATCAAGGCATGAACGACAAGGTTGACCAATACAATGTTATGTTCTTAGTTCATTTCATTGCACTTTTGCTGAAGGAAACAATGAGATCTGCGGCAGGAACAGCTGGTCACACATGTCAACTCTATCGGTACTGGTTACAATATGCACTGGACCAGCAGGGTTCAGCTATGAAGATGCTCCGCTGAATTTTGCAAGCCACCATTACCCGCAGGCAGGCAGTCTTGTCGGCCTGTTTCACATACACGTTTTGCTTAAGTCTTCAACTAGGTAAAAAAAGAAGGCACATGCAGTTCACGGTTCAGTCGGACAAGTTCAGTTCTGCAAAGAGTCAGGACTCGGTGTTGAACAAAGAATTGAACATCACACCTGGGCCTCTGACAAACAAAACACTCTTTAGGTATGATCTCCTTGAATACCGACTCTAAGTGCATACAGTACACATGTACATGTAGAGTGTTCTGCTTTCAAAGTCCTGCCAAACCAGCAGTCACCAGATGGTAGAGGGACATAATTATGGGGACAGGATATATGGGTATTCAAGAAACTTTTTTTTCCATTTGCATGTATATACTTGATGATGCGTGATGCAAAATGTCCCAACCAATTAATTTTGGTAAGTGAGAAAGCTGGACTAATGAGGTTTACGCCAGCGAAGTTTGTCAAAAATGAAATATTAGTGTCAAGTGAAGTATGGTAGTATCATCTTTAAAAAAGTTATCCTTCTCAAGTTTTTTTTGTGGGAAAGGGGGCATGGTGACAATTTGTTTCATAATAGTGCCCAAACAGGAAGTAGATACAGTAGCTATGCATAGGCCAGGAATGTGAAAACGCTTATCTCTTGTGGTTCGGAACCTGAGAAAATTTGATGGAAAGCAGTATTTTTTTTATCCTGTTTTGTTTACCTTTACTTTGACAATATACAGTGCATCCCATACTGTTTTCAATCTCTATGTTCATGCAATTGACGTCCACAGATAATAATGTGCCTGGTTTCAAGACTGGGGGATCGTGCCAATGGCAGTCTGGCATCTGTCATTGCACACAGTCATGGCAATGCTGTATAACCGCAGAATGACCAGGTTCCTGCTACATTGCTCCGCTTTGGGTGATGATCTACAACGACACGTCAGTGTGCGCGCGCATCTCATCCAAACAGACGACGCACAATATCCTGCACACGAACGAGTCGCTACGTTCAGACCCTGCTGCAGTCGACAACAGGCTGCCAGCTCCAACATGGCGAAGAGAGAGGCAAGCACTTCCAAACTGTATTCATATAAAAACGATTACTGTCTTTACACACCTGCTTCCCCAACGCACGCATAGGAGCGTCTGATTATTACCCGCGACTGACGGAACGCGACGGTGCTCGTGTCGGAGGCTAGATGCGCGTCGCAACTGCTGCTCACGACTATTCGGACTAAACGATGTGTGTCGCTTCCAGACAGACCACTTTGCAGTCTCGGTATGACCTGTCAAAGAACACCCAGGTCGTTTACTTTCTTTCGCTCTGTTGGAGCTGCGTACTTTGCCAAGTGGCCATCACAGACTACACAATAGCCCTGCGTGCATACAGAACATGACTGGTAAAGGAAGCAGAATATTTGCAGACGTCCACAACAACAGCAATTATTTGTTCACGCGCCGAGGCGGGGACTCGGAGGTCGACCTCGACTCGGCCCGGAGAGCTTGCGTCGCAGTAGCATCCTACCCAGCAGCACGACACACTGCACTGGTAACACAGACAAAACATCGCCTACAACACAAGACAACAGTGTACATGTACCGGCGAGAAAGCTCCGGCGCGGGTGGACAGGTCTCTTACCTACTCCGGAGAGCAGTTTATTTCCGACTCCGCTGTAGAGCGCATTGTAGGTGAACAGCCAACTGGTGTGGTAGCTCACATTCAGATTGAAGATGACCATAGCCGAATGAAGCGCTCGCGTGTTGCCAGCCAAATCCGAGACCATGAAGAATTCTGCACGGCGAGGTATCTCGAAGATACTGGCGGAAACATTGGATGTGTACAGCTCTGTGCGAAGACAAACAAAAAAATGGCCATAATCCTGGGCATAATCCTTGCTAGAGCGCCACCAGAATGCTGCAATCCACACTTCGCCGGTGTGACCCAAGCGTCTTATTGTGACAGTGTGTATAATTGTAGTGCAGGGCTACAGCAGGCACCGCTGCAGATCTACGGATCGGACGGGGGATGGAAGAAAGCAATCGTGTGCCATGTTTCGTGTGACAGTTCAGCTAACAGCGCACGTTAGAGCGCCAAAGCTTTGACTTTGCAGGAGTGGGGTTGAACTATTTCCTTGCTAGTACACAGACTACACCCTGATGACAAACAAGGCTACGACGGAGGATCGACTTATCATGCAACGGTGACCTTGAACACACATTGACAAGGCAACGTAAAAGAGCTGCCGCACAACCTCACCACATTCGTACGAAGTCAGAAATAGGAATAGTGCTGTGCATCAATGGAGTGCGAAGGAGAGCGAGGCTCACGGCGGACAAAAGACACCGCTTGATATGCCGGGAACTGGTTCGCGTTCACAACACTGGACTTGGCAAGCTTACCTGTAGCAGCCGAGACGGCGAACGTATCATCCAAGATCAGAGGAAAGCTATCCTCCAACTCTTCGCCGTACTCGATCGGTTCGCTCGTGAAGTTCATTCTTCCGGGCATGTAACCCGTCTGATTCGGTATCAGTGAGGCAGACACTTTCCTCTGATCTGGTACTGCGTTGAAGAACCGAAAGGACAGTGTTTCGCCAGTCCCATACGATTCCTCATCGTGTGACGAACTACTAAGATGACGACGAACCCTATGGTGCTTATCACTCCGCGAGGAGGGGCGATGCTCCTCCACCGTCGCCCGTTTTATTCTACCTGGCCCTGCTTCCCGTACTTCTCTTGGCTGCTCTTGGTGATCCATAATGAACTTGTTGACCAGGGCTAGAACTGTGTTGTTGCATGTCTTGGGCCTCCATGGGCGGCAGGATTCAGCTCCCAGACTCGCCAGATACCCGCGAACTAGCCGACCCAGTTTGGGCCGCAGGGGAGGATGCGTTTGCCTCCATTTCCGCATGGGTAAGATCTCATCTCGAAGCGTCGCTATCTCCGCCTCATCGGACTCTACCCTCCCCAGGCGTTCCAGCTGGACGACTCTGTCATCTCCATACGCGCCAGCGACGTCGCATCCTCTCCATACAATGTACACTGCAAGCAGCAATAGTGCTGAACGACGAGGTGAGAAACACATCGTTGGCCACACAGGTTTGGTTTTGGTGTGTCAAAATCACCTCTCCGCAAAGAGCAATATTTGCTCCGGATATCCAATAGCCCTGTCCCAATACTCCTTCTATCCGTATCCAGTGTTGAGAGTTCAGGACGGTACTATAAGAAAGAAGCTAGAGCGCACACATACGGATGGCCACTGTTGGGGACAGAGACCAAAGGCACATCCGAGACTTGCGGTGCGCGCGCTCGCTTGCAAACAGCACTGTCCTCTTTGGACGGCAGCACTTTGTGCCTTGTGGTAGTGGCGGTGCTGCTGATGCTGCTGTTACTGCTACCACTGCTCTTGCTGCTGCAATCTGTGTTCGCACGAAGTGTGGCTGTTGGTATGTGCGTGAGTGTGATGTGGCCACTAGGTCGCCTGATGTTGTGCGCGGAGACGCAACGGTTCGCCGAGGCAAGGTCCGACTTACGAGTCCCGCCAGTAAACGGTCAGCAAAGTGTACGGAAAAGTAGACAGGCTCTTTGTTCAAAGGCGCGATCTGGGCTACACGCTTAGCCAGTAAGCAGTCAGAGGATGCAGGATATTCTCGGACTCTGATGTATAGATGCCATGGGCATGGAGGTTCGGACTTGGCGACTGACCCACGTATCTGCTACACTACAGATAGCCTTCTAGCTGACCTTCGCTGGCATCCTGAGAAGTCCTCGTCGATCCGTATTCGTCCTGAGTACCAGCACTCGACCGTTTGCAGCCTAGTGGCTGGAGAAAGACAATGAACTTGAACTGACCGAGTTGCGGGACAAAAGGAGAAAAGAGGCTCAAGTGGCATGCCGGTCGACCGCGGAAGCCTTCAGCAACAGCCTCTTACTGGGCCTTTTTGTTCTGCCATCAACACGCTAAGGATTGCTTAGAGCCCAAGCCGAAGACGGCATATTTGAGGCAACTCTTCTGCCAGAGTGAGTAAATGATAGCGTGCCAGTAGAGCGAACACGAGTAATCCAGTGCCTGTTGCATGGTGATATATCTACAGGAGCTGGCCGTACTGCAGCGTACACCACTAGGTATGGCTTGGTCTAGGTTGGTCTTTCATTTGCCTGGGCTGGGCAGACATAACTGGGGCTGTGGAAGCGGCTAATCCCCTGATAAATGCCAGCTAACAATAGCAACATGTCACCACCGACAAACAACATGCAAATAACGTTACTTCGTTCGCCCAATCCCGGCAGTGTAAACCTGTAGTTAAGGCGTGATGAAGTTCGACGTTTAAAAAATAATTGCATATTTCGAAGTGGAGACAGGGGAGTCTACCCGTGGGTCTCATTAAAACAAGGTACGAAAATCTCGTGGGCATGATCCATCCCGTACGATCGAGTCAATCCACTCTGTGACAAGCAGTCTGTTTTTTTTTTGCGTTCCAGGAGACACCATCACTGCTGCGTGTCACATCCTGTAGCCTTGCCGTGGCACTATTCCATTGTAGCCTGGTTACTGGGCAACACAGATGGCAGGAGCACAGCTACAGGGGCACTTGCGCTGATGAAAATTGATGAAAGGCAGCTGGATGAGATTTCCGCGATTAGGTCGGATCATGGAGGTTGTCAAGTGGCAGAGTACTGTATGATATGATTACAAGTGAACCAGTTCCAGTCTCACCCAAATTTTGTGATTCCATAGATTTCTAATAGGCATAATACAAGGTTTTCATTGTGTTCCTTTGTGTAATATACATACTATTATGGTGATGGCATTAATTGTTTTGAACGTTGTACTTTTCCATCATAGCTTAGTCATGATTCAAAATTGGTGCACAGCGAGAAGGCAGCAATGCTCGTACCGATATTGAGGAAAATACAGATAAAAGAGTGGAGTCAAGTAAGTTGTACGCGAAGAGACCAGTTCACACCCCTGTGTGGCAACTTACCCATATTCCAGCTCCTAGACTACACTTGTAAGTCAGATGTACATGTAGATGTACATGTAAAAGAGCCAGCCATACGGGCCAACAGATAATAAAAGAAAGCATAGCATAGCTTGGAAATACACTACTACTGCATGTACATGTAGATCCATGTAGACCAGCTGTCTTGCCTACCTGAATGTCTCCTTCCCTACTCTATACTTCCCGCAGTTTCTCTCCCGTTCTCTCTCTCTCTCTCTCTCTCTCTCTCTCTCTCTCTCTCTCTCTCTCTCTCTCTCTCTCTCTCTCTCTCTCTCTCTCTCTCTCTCTCTCTCTCTCTCTCTCTCTCTCTCTCTCTCTCTCTCTCTCTCTCTCTCTCTCTCTCTCTCTCTCTCTCTCTCTCTCTCTCTCTCTCTCTCTCTCTCTCTCTCTCTCTCTCTCTCTCTCTCTCTCTCTCTCTCTCTCTCTCTCTCTCTCTCTCTCTCTCTCTCTCTCTCTCTCTCTCTCTCTCTCTCTCTCTCTCTCTCTCTCTAACCATTACGGCCCTATCAGTAGGCTTCATCCAATATTGTTTACTGCGTTGCCACAGTTATGAGCTGGGGACCACTTGGGAGCGGAGCAATGTTTTCCACCTTATCGACACATGCCAGGTTCGCTCTGTCTTGTCAGGGTCCCAGTGTTTATCCTATATCGTTCAGCTACTTGTATACATCTACATGTAGGCTGGTCAGTATTGTCTTCCACTCTAAAAAGCAGTTTTCGAGGCCACTAGTAATCGGCTGAAGCTATCCATACTAGTTGTGGCGGCACCCATCATTATTATCATTAGGTTGGACTGCGACGACAACTTTTCACCTTTCCTGCCAAAGGCACAAGTTACGCGCACATGTTGTGCATTGGAATGACTATTGCTTTCGTCGAGGACCATCATAAAGTAACATCAATTTTAGCGTATGCGGCTGGTCACTGATTGATGAAGCTTTATCGAATGTTTGATTGTTTAAACTGAACATGTAAGCTGGCCACAACGCTGAGACCGATAATAATTAATTGACGTACAACTACAAAGCTCCTCAATTTAGTACTTGCACAGCGCATGAACACATAATTATCCTCAAAGACCAAAGAGTAGCGGCCATGCTAAGCCTTGAACAATGTAGGCATCCATGCAAGTACATGTAATTGTCCGTGGCTTTATTGGCTCCGATTGTCTGTAAAAATCAGTGAGCAACCAAGCAAGCAGTCTGGAAAAAGATCACACCAAACTATTCAGTCCACAGCTGTAACAAGCTAACAAGCAGTCAGAAAGTGCGGTAACAGTGAACAAAGCAAGCAGTAGCTCACACTTTACCCATTGTAACCCAACCCCTCTGCGATTTATCGGCTTCCTTGCTTGCTAGATTGATTAATATAATGATTGTCGAGTGAGTAGAGCTAGACTCTGGTGGAGTGCCAAGGATGAATTTCTAAGAAGAAATGAGGACCAAGGAGCTACAAGGTACGCTATAATGTCCACTAACACCACCAGTTACTTTACACTCAGCTCAAGCGATAACATTGCACGACACTGACCAACAGTACTGAGGCGTTCGGTTCTTCACAATTCAAGTTCGCTTAGCCTCCCCTCCAATCGATCTTCGAATCTTTAGAACCACACTAGTTGTTTGCTGTGTTGCTGTGAGTCGCTAATTTGGGGTTTGACCGTTTTGTCTGACGGTCTTGCCAGTATCGTCTTCGGCATACATGTACATCCGCCAACGTCCTTCGCAGCTGAGACTTTTAGCTCGTGCTTGTCTTGGTTGCGCTCACCTTTCCCTCCTACGTTATTTCTGACATAGAGTCTTCCAAGTTAGAATGCTGTTGGAGTGCCCATCCAAGACGTGCTAGAGCTGATTGCCAGTTAGTTGTAGAACGTCAGTACCGTTGGTCAGTGTCGTGCAATGTTATCGCTTGAGCTGATTGTAAAGTAACTGGTGGTGTTAGTGGACATTATAGCGTACCCTGTAGCTCCTTGGTCCTCATTTCTTCTCATAAATTAATCCTTGGCTCTCCACCGGGATAAAGGATACAGAAGTGGTATAAACTAAGGGCGCGTTCAAACTGTCACTCTTTGACTTTTTGAGGAGTTTCGTATTTCTGAAGAGGTGGCCTTACTGGCCTCTTCAGAAAAACGAAACTCCACAACCTCAGGTGGATTAGTTTCGAAGAGTTTGGAATAGCTACTTCGCGTAGTATGTGGAGATGGTCGATCTGATCGGACGTCATCATCGCCATGACAATTCCACCGAAAAACTCTAAAAATATTAGAAACCGTTCTAATGGGAGACTTCAATTTATCTCTTTAATTTAAAAGAATTGTTGAAATAGTTGATGAAAACAATTCGAACGCCCCCTAAATGTACATGTACGTGTAGGAGCAATATACATGTATGGTGTACAATGTACATGTAGATGTACATTGTACATGTACTCGGGACCGCAGCCTCAGCGGCCACAGTCGTCCGACAAACATTACCTCATTTTAACACCTTGATTACCTGCATGCCAAATTTCCGAAGGTTGCAGTAATCCAAAGCAACATGGTGCATCACAGACACAGCAGTCAGCATGACTGATGTCAGCTCCTACTTAGCCAGTTGCACGGTAACAGATCAGAATCAGTTGTAATACGTGGAATACTCCAGTAATCTTGTGGAGGGTGCTGTATTGGTACGTGACGTTTTGGAGTGCTTGAAACCTCCACTGACGTGTGCACAATAGACTCGTTAAAAAAATGTTTGAGATCACTTGGCTGCTAGCCCGTCAGTGTCCCTTGCAGCTGTGCAGCGTGGACCTGGGACTGCATGTGCTGGCATGGGTCACTCTTAATCTGATGAAGTGTGCAAACCTTTGCTCAGTACAGCCTCATTCACGCAATACCTGTGCTCAGTACAGCCTCATTTACGTAATACTGCTAGGACCGCCTGGCCTTCTGGGCGGGTAGTGCTAACAGTATAAGTAGCAAACGTCCTGTTTGATGATCAGCTGGCTTAGTTTTTCTCCACCTCTATCCTTATTACATCAGTCCCCAATTTCATTTATTACTGCTTTCTATCTGCATTCGCCACCTTTTCATTGGGAGATCTGCCCGTTTGGTTTGCGAATTAAAATAAACACAACAACAACATTAGTTCTTTTTTACTCTCTTCACTCCTGTGTGCAGCCACACCATACGTGCCCCCACCCCTAACGCACCTCAGTCACATGCACAGTCACGTGCACACCCACATACACACGCACACAGCAACAACAAACAGCCTCTGCGGGGACAGCAGCAACAGCAAGAAGAAAACTACACTTGCAAAGCAAGAAGAAAAAGAATGCCGCAGCCGGAGCGCATGCTCCTAATATCTCGCATTTGCGAGCAGCAAGTGTTACGTCATGCAAAAGAAAGACAAAAAGAACTACATATTTCTCGTTTCTTTCCTACGTCAGCCAACGAGAAATGAGGCATAGTGTGCGATTTGGAATGAGCATAATGCCAGCATAATAACACTGCATTTTCCACAAAAGTAGCAATATGCTCAATGTGGAAGTGTTCGCAGTCTCTACAGTGAGGCAGTGTAGCGGTGTACTCGCCGTTTCTGAGAGAAAGGAAACACTTGCCCTAGCTACCACTCGAACGACAGGGCTGACGCTTCTACAAGACTAACATGTATGTTACATGTAGAAGGCTTGGCCTGAGAAGGACTTCTTCTCCGTGTGTTTCTCCCAGTGTCAAACAACGTTGCTCACCGGATGCGTACCCGCCATGGCTGCACGAGCGATGGTCTGCGCGCATGTCACCATTGTTTCAAAACGGTGGTCGACGTAATAATACAAGTAATTATTTTGATTTCTTAAATATTTGAAATCTGAATCTTCGTTGTGGGTCCTGGATTGTTTTCTAACCTCTTGAAAATAACGATT